AAGCGTGTTTTCTAATAAAGGAGTCAAGAGTCTCCGTAGTCGTACATGCATACATGAGTTAAATTTTCAATGAGAACTGTACTTTTATAAAGATAAAAACCAAGAATACTCGGTTGCCTCTACCAGGCCCTATATATCTATATCACACCAGAACGTAAGCGTTCTGGTGTGATATAGATAGATATATAGTTAGAAACTTAAAGGAAGACATTTTAACACTAATAATGAATGTTATGTATGAATTCGGGCAACAGTTGGCTGTATGGACGGAGTCCTTTTGTCTTTACCGAATAAAAAAAAGAAAAGATCCGAGTCAATCAGGAATCAGTCGTAAATATAAAAAAAAAACAAAATAAAAAAAAATTAAGACCCTTACAAATCGGTGTTAATTATTTTCTCTTTAAATTAACTAATGCAGCATATGAATATAAAAGCCTCATTAATCGCCCGCTGTATCACCAACTTTTCAGCACCGACGTCCATTTTGTTGTACGTTTTTCCCGCCTTTATATTCGGTAGCGGCGTCGCAAAAGGCCTGTTTCAATTATTCACATTATTATTGTTACTTTCGCTTGAGCCTCATTCGTGGTTGATGCCTATCATACACGCGCAAATAACTCGCTAATTGGACGGACAGACAGACAACAGTAGACGTTACAAGGACTAAAAAGCAATAAATACTCATTACAACAAACAAAATGTTGAAAAACTCTTTTAATGGCAATATATTTCAATTTTATTTTCCATTCTCTAATCTAAATATAAAATAAAATAGGTACTTTCTATAGATATATCACCTTACCTACGATTCTGTTCTACTGTTGCCATTAAAATATTTATGCAACAAATAAATTGTAATACAACAAAATTTTATAACAAAATAATAATAATAATCCAGGACAATTTTCACAGCGTTATTTAATCCAAAGCTAAGTAGAGCTTGTGTTATGTATACTAGACTGATATAAATACTTTTTCATTTGTAAATACGTACATAGAAAACACCTAGACCGATACAAACAATCACACTTATAAATCATAATGTTTACACCATACGAGTCGAACTGCACTCATCATCATCTGCTTCTTCCTTATCCCATTTATTTGGGGTCGACGTAATATGTTTTTCTCGTCCATTCATCTCTGTTCGCAGTCATTCCGTTAATTACTCCCTTTCTCACCATATCATCTTTCACACAGTCCATCCATCTCTTTTTCGGTCTTTCTCTACCCTTATAACCATCCACATTCATATATAACACCGTCCTTAGGATATGATCTTCATTCCTACGCATTACATGCCCATACCACGATAGACGATTACTCTTTAACCTCTCTGACATCGGTGCCACTTTCATACTTCCTCTGATGTATTCATTCTTTATCTTGTCTATCCTCGTCACACCACACATCCATCTCAACTTTCGCATTTCAGTTGCATGCAGTCGAACTGCACTCGAACCGCAAATATTGGATGTAACGTGGTGTCAACGAAGCCGTCAAAGATCTTGTGTTCTTATAACATGTGTCTATATAAAATAATTAAATAAACTAAAATAGAAGCATATCTTGGTTTTTTTTTTGTGGATAATAATGGAATGGTGCACCCGCCTGCGCTAACGGTTTACGCTGGCGGGGCACCAGTGGAGGATGATAAGATGAACATGAGGTCAGGTCAGTTAGCCCATCGTGACAAATTCACCAAGAATCGCGGTTCCCCCTGGAAACCATCGTGATAAACGATGGTTTCCAGGGGGAACCGCGTGGAGGTCAACCTGACATGGTACATTGCTAGCAATGGGGTCAACAGTCCACATTACTAACAATCCCCTTCCCCCCAGCATATCTTGGTTATATTATTGACACTGAACATATTATTTTTGTGGCGAATCTACTATCATCGTGCGGCAACACCGTTACCTAGTTACGATGGGGTAGGAAATAACAAGCTTGTCATTCGAGACCGAATCGCTTCTTGTACATATACTAATTGTAAATACTTCTATATTATAAATATGTACATAGCCATAATATGAACTCATCTTTCATCTCCTCCTGTCTGCTGCTGCCACAATACATGGAACACATTACAAACACAAATAATAGCGGCCCTATAATATCTGCTAAATTTTTAATGTATATTGATTTTGATACTCTATGGTTTCGGGAATGTCATCCTAAAAACTGTTGCGAATATACCTGTGTCCGCTCCAGAGGCACTGGATAACGTTGCATTGTGGACCCAGTGCTTCTGGACGTGGACACAGATATGTATTAAATATATCTCAGTATCTGTATATTATAAGTTACTAACATAGTTTTAAGTTTATAATAACACAATATGGATGTAATCCGAATTAAAATTAAATAAATAAATAAATCAGAAAATGTACCTACTCTGTTCACCCCTGCGAAGTGACGATCGCTTGCTGGTAATAATAATAGTAACCAAGAACGGGAGTAAAAAGATTGTTAGTAAGATTGGTAATATGACATTTCCCCTGGAAACCATCGAGATACATTCCTGATGAATTTGTCGCGATGACCTGTCATATCATCCTCCACAGAAGCCCCAACGGAATAAACCGTTAACGCAAGCGGATGCATCATTCTATTTATAATAAATTAATCAAAAACCATACAGCGCCAACTAGTCCCAAACTTAGCAAATATTGTACTATGAGCACTAAATAACTGATAGAGTAGAATTTTTAAATAGAATTTTTTTTTTTGTAATGTACTTACAAATAAAATACTCACACTAATCGAAACTACCATATTATGAATGTGTCCGTATCCCGTGAGGATTGAACCTTGTAAATTGTAAGACAATGTACTAAACCGCTATACCATCAACTCCATATATTTATCCTGTACCTATATTGAACAACCGGGTAAAAATCTGTCTTTTTCACGTACGCTCTTTCATACGCAAATCTTCTTTCCTGCGGGAAAGAATGTGCATGGAAATCTAGAAAAAGAGAACGAGAAAGACCGCGCGAATTATATCACAGCCGAGGACTTTAAAAAATATATAATTTTCTTATAAAATATTTATTAATTACTACAGCATTGGCATCTCCGCGACGGAGGCCGGTTCTTACAATTTTATTCAAATATAATTTTTAATTCAATAGGAAAGTGCTGAATCGTCAGCGAAACTGCACGTGGAAGAATTTTGTAGCTGACGGTGCAACCTAGATCACGAATTTACTGTAAATGTTATTACACACTACTGTATTAAGATAGGTACATATTATTGGTTACAAAATATTGTCCTGTATACACGTATATAACACGCGCGCACGTTTGAAGGACGTCCTTCAAAAGTGCGTGCCAAAGAGTAAAGTAAATATATCAAAAGGGTGCCTGCCCCCGCCAGCGTAAACCGTAAGCGATGGCGGGTACACCATTCCATTATCATCAAAAAAAAAAAAGGGTGCGTGCTTTCACGCCTTTTTGTAATAATTATCATTTCAAAATGGCGGACATCTGATTATAGAGCAGAGGCAATTATAGAGTTATAGATAATTTATAAATCTTAAACGTGTCTTTGGAAATAAAAGCAGTGGACTAAAATAAAATTTCAAAAGTGCAATGACATGAATCATACGCCCTATTACACGCGAAAGAGTGAACACAAAAATAGTAAAATGCAATCACGATTGCGTGCGCTGGCTTTCCCGCGCTAAATCGCGCGCACTCCTGATCGTACTTGAAAGTGTGTTATAGAAATCTTTACTAATATATTATATTATCTGTGCTAATATTATAAATGTAAAAGTACGGATGTTTGTTACGCTTTCACGCAAAAACTACTGAACCGATCATCATGAAATTTTGTACACATGTTCTTTGAGGTATTAGAATGAACATAGGATACTTTTTATTTAAAAAAAACAAATATTTTTCATTCAAAGCGACCGAAGCCGCGCCTAAAAGCTCGAATGTAATAAAACTTTTTATAAAGGGACAAATATTTTAATGGTAATGGTAGAGACAGTGAAGTGACATATATATAATTTTGTTTTATATATTTTTGATTAGAGAATACAAAGAAATAGAATTTATAAATATCAAAATAGTTTCTCAACAAAGAACGTGTTCTGTAAAGGCAGTTATTGGAGATATTCAGTGGATATATCGCTGATTAAATGCCAAAGGGTCACATAACACAAACGGTAAATTTTACAGGAGAGCTCATCAAAATTTTCAGTGACATTTTTACTTTTTTTACGAATCTATAAGTATATCTGTGTGTTAGCTCTAGAATCATGGGTGTCTTTTTTAATATAACTATTATAACGATTTATATACCATTTTTTGGCCCTCTGGCATTTAATCAGCGATATATAGCAGCAAATATAATTTACTAATTTAACTAGTAGTTCTAATGTTCCTAGTAGTACTAAGTATTTTTCACTGTAATTGTTATACTTTTTTTACGAATCTATAAGTATATCTGAGTGTTAGCTCTAGAATCATGGGTGTATTTTTTTTAATATAACAATTATAACGATTTATATACCATTTTAAAAAAAAAAATTTTTTTTGGTGTTGTGGCCCTTTGGCTTTTAATCAGCGATATATAGTAGCAAATATAATTTAATTTCGTTTCGTTCACAGTTGCATATTAATAATAATAATAATCTTAGGACAATTCACACAACGCCGTCTAGACCCAAGTTAAGCTAACTAAAGCTTGTGTTATGGGTACTAGATAACTAAACTAAACTAAATACAAATACATAGATATTTTTTTTTGTAAATACATACATATTATACATAGAAAACACCCAGACCGATACAAACAATCACACTCATGAATACAAATGTTTGTGCCGTGCGAGGAATCGAACCCGCGACCATCGGTCGTAAAGCGGTGTACTAGACCGCTGAACCACCAAGGTCGTCAATATATTACACATGAAATCAACTGAATGTATCAATTAATAGGTAGTTTAATAAAACAAAGTAAACCTATAATATATGTATTACTATCATATGACATTTGAATATTTTCTAACTATATCTCTGTAGAATGCAAAGATTAGATCGCTAGCTGACCGACACCGTGCCAACGCCTCCTTGTATGTGTCTTCACTGAAAGTGCCTTCTGTGAACGCTGAAAAAGAAATAGAATAGAATAGAATAGAATAGAATAACATTTATTTCATAAAACTTCACTTAAGTAACATTGTAATTATGACCCCACACTAAGCTATGCCTGTATCGTGGATTTTTGTTTGGTTTTGACAGTTAACGTTACATTGGTACGGCGATCAGAGTGTATATAATAATTTAGTGTTTATATAATATTACCAAAATAATGTCAGGTAAATATATGACGATAGAAAAAATAAAATGGACCCGGGACTTCGGTTCAATCATATTAAAAATGTACAGAAATGTTTTTATATATGTATAAAATGCGATTTTCTATCAGTGGAGTTACGTAAACGTGTGTGTGTGTGTAGCATATGTGTGTATGTGTGTGTAAGTGTGTCCAAAACGCTTGTGCTCGCTCAATAAATGCGCTGCGCAAGAATACCGCCCAGAAGTCACATAACACCATATTTGAATAATAATGACATTCTCAAAATGACCGCTAGGAGAAATCTCTATCCAATCAGCCTCATTATCTGTACCATAAATTAACCTGGAGGCAAAACTGTTACCAATACGCGATACGATTAAATGTCAATACACTTAAATTCCAAGTCATAATACAGCTGCATTTTTTTAAATACACACTGGAATAACATACCACCACCTATTCAAGATCTAAAATCAATTCACACTTTTAAACGACACCTAAAAAAAGTATGCAGGTACAAAAATCAATCTAGGCAAAAATACATTACCAATTTATATATCTGTATCTTTATATACCCTCCTGTATCTCTTTTATTTGACTGTATTAATATCTATTATCGCCTTGTCATTTGTGTACTATCTCTATTTTAGCTAAATGTGTATTTATGTATATTAATTTATATCAATTTATTATATATTAAGTATTGTATCATATCATAAATCGTGTACAACACGGCAATACACCAACCCAGGTCTTGATGCTGAAAAACAGCGTTGCAGCGCTCCAGTAGCTGCAGCATTATATACACGAAAACTATTCAGTGGACCGACAGACATAACAATCACAGACATACGTAATTTGTGTACTGTTATTTGTATGTAATTGTTCGCACTATTTGTTATTCTATTTTTTGTTTGTTTAATGTGTGTTTTAGTTTTCTACTGAATAAATATCATTTCATTTCATTTCATGTTAAATATTTACAATATAACAATATTAATAATATCTCAGGACGGTTTATACAGCGTCATCTAGTCCCAAGCTAAGCAAAGCTTGTATTACGAGTACCAGACCATTGATATAAATTTCATACATTTTTTTTATACACACATACATCATTATCATTATCATTACATAGTATAAAACAAAGTCGCTGTCGCTGTCTGTCCCTATGTATGCTTAAATCTTTAAAACTACGCAACGGATTTTGAATCGTTTTTTTAATAGATAGAGTGATTCAAGAGGAAGGTTTATATGTATAATACATGTACACCCGGGCGATGGCGGGGCCAGTAGCTAATTATATACATAGAAAACAAACAGACCGATACAAACAATCATGACTACAAATGCTTGCACAGTGAGAAGAATCGAACCCGCGACCATCGGAAGTAAAGCGGTGTGCTAAACTGCTAGACCACCAAGGTTGTCAAATACACTATCTATTTACTATCTACCTACGACTTTGTCTGCTCTTTTATATGAAAGCTGGGCATGTTCGTCTTCCTAACACAATCTATTACATTACATACACAAGGCATAGCTACCAATAGTATAATAATAATAATAATAATAATACGAAACTAGAGTTCTTTCCTTCTGGAACATTCCATGGATTCACCGTGCGGGTGCCAGGTCCATCGTGTGTCCATCACTAGCAATGTACCAAGTCAGGACTGAGCTGTGACTGACCTGACCTCATACTCATACTATCATCCAACTGGTGCCCGCCAGCATAAACCGTCAGTACAAGCGGGTGCCCCATTCCAGTTTAAAAAAAAATTGTACAATCCGTATTGTACAATTTTTTTATGAAATTAGATTAAAGAATGGGATTGTTAGTAATGTGGACAAATAACTCCATCGCTAGCAATGTACCAACCATGTAGTTCCCCCTGGAAACCCTCATGCTAAATCCTGGTGAATTTGTCACGATGGACAAATTCACCAGGATTTATCATGAAGGGGTCGACATGCATGGGGTTAAGTCCGTTAGTACATAGGACTTAACCCCATGCATGTCGACTGGTGGTTCCGCCAGGGTAAACCGTTAACGTAGGCGGGTGCACCATTTCATTATCATAATTTAAAAAAATATCTTTATTAAAAAATAATTAATATGATGGCTTACAAGTAACTAAACTATTCTTCCGACTGCATTATAATAATATATTTTTTTAATTATTTTTAATACTAATAATAATTTTAAAAAATATAAAAAAAAATAGTATGATGGCTTACAAGTAATTAAACTTTTCTCTCGACTGTCGAACACGAAGTTCATGATGGCACGAGTAGACTCCAGCTGCTGCTTCGTTGGCTCCAGCATTATGTTCCCCGCCTCGTCGAGGGCGCAGGAGACGGCCGCAAACACGTTTCGCATCGCCACGCCCGAGTTGAGGAGAGCCAGGCACGCGGTGTTCAGGCAGCACGACAGGAACTGAGTCAACGAATTGAGGATTAGACTTAGAGCAGTGTTTCCCAAACTTTTCTGTACAATATGTATGTTAAAACCACAAACTAAAACACAACACTCGTGTATATAAAGTTTATTGGTCGGTTAGAAAACAGGTACAAAAGTGGTTTATTTTTCTTTTTTTTTCGGACTACTCTAATAGAGCAAGAGCCCACGACTTTAGGAAACTCAGTTTAATAGTTCTCTCAATAATATATATAAAGTTCAGCTTTATTAAAATGACGTAAGTTTATTTATAATATAGTATAGTTTAGGTGGGTCCGGCGGGGAGTTGGAACCACACTAAGTGTCTGGCAATGAGCAGCGCAAGTTATAATAATGCTACGAACAATATATGAAAATATGGAGTTTCTTAAAATAACGAATTTGATATGAAAATTTCTACACCTTTGTTACCTGTTACCTGCCAAAGGAACCACGATCCAGGTTTCATGATTGGGGATCTTTCTTACCTGTATTGGGGACACACATACAAGAACTTTCACATTTACTACTAAGACGTAAGTCTGGCTGTCGTGGGCTCTTGGGCTATAATGCTGTTGGCCGCAGCTGATCTTTTAAAACTTAGGATAAGATAGGATGCGAGTGCAGTTGAAGAACTTATGGAGCGGCTGAAGGCCAACTCCCGCCTGACGGATACGATTTCAGTCTGAGTACATTGCTGTTTCGAACCTCTGCTCAGGCCGTCGTAATTTCGATCCCAGTTTAAATTAAAAATTCAATTAAATTCAAAATATCTTTATTAATGTAGGTCTATTACAGACTCTTATGACATGTTAAATCTAGCGTCAGTTCGGACTGATTTCGAGATGAGAAGAACTGACGAGAAACACAGCTCGTATTCTTTTCAAATAAATGTTGTACATGTTTACAATAATACACAGTCATTAAAGTTCAAATTTGGAAGAATAGAGTGACCACCAGCATATACTATCACAAAGAACAAAAAATTTAATCAGTGCTCGCATCTTGTACGGGTTTAGATTGGATAGATATACATACTCTCGGTATAGTAATATTATATTTACAAAATAGTTTTTACCCCTCCATAATCCTCCAACTCTTGTATGGTGATTGTGATAGCGGTGCGCGGGTACAGACTGCCCAATATTGCCGTTTCACATGTCTGTCTTATTATATTCTCTTTATACCTGGAAATATCAGGAAATATACAATTACATTACCATCAAACTCAGAATAAAAAACTTAAAGAAACACATTCACTGTGAAATTTTACATTAATTAGAAAAAAGTTTAAAACTTATAAGCTATTATTAAGGCCGCTTTGTCCAGATTTATTTTATTATTTAATTTATTTAAAAAATTAATTAAATTTTTTTTTTAAATAAAATAATTATTGAGGCCTCATGTCCACATTTACATGCACATTATTTCCTTCGTGAAAGAGTGTGTGTATAAAGGCAGCCATAAGACAGAAATAGGAAATAATATTTGTAATTTTAATAGAACAAACTAGCTGTCCTGGCAAACGTTGTTTTGCCTTAAAATAAAAAAAAATTTAGGGGTAGACTACCCCTAACATTTAGGGGGATGAAAAATAGATGTTGGCCGATTCTCAGACCTACTCAATACGCTCACAAAATTTCGTGAGAATTGGTCAAGCCGTTTCGGAGGAGTATGGGAACGTAAACTGTGACACGAGAATTTTATATATATATAAGATTACACATCTATTCAGTTACCAATTAAACTGTAAAAAAAATATAGATTCTAAATTACATTGTAAGCTGAATAACTTTATTCTTTAGCTTACAACTTAATTTAAAAACTATTACACTCTTTTATTATTACTATTTGTACAATAACTTTTATATTAGTGTTCACCTGTCGCCAACTGATGGTTTGCCACCTTTGCTAATGAATAACACCTCCAATGTTGACTTCTCTATGCTCTGACTTTGCATTTTGACATCTAGTGGGCCATTGACGCTGACCAGCGCCACTGTTTCACCTGCACCATAATAAATAATAATAATAGTCTTTATTTACTGTTTTTTATTAATTTTACATTATTATTGTATTGCAGTAACTGTGTTTCTGTTATTATATATTTATTAATTCATTGTATCTTTTTTTGCCATCAGAATGTCAACAAATGGGAAGATGACATTAGAAAGTTAGCAGGAAATAGTTGGGCTCAAAGATCAGAATATTTAATTAAAAGTTTAAAAGATAAAAGAAATATTAGTTATATATATGTATATGTTATTTTTAATTCTGCACATCAGGCTCTAGTGTTTTCCATGTGTTCCTATCTATTATAAATTAAACCAGTCTCTAATTAATCATGTGTTTACTATGAGATAGCCAAAACAATACAGAGTAGTTTATATAATAATTACAAAAACAGGGTAGGTTACTCTACACTTAAGTAGTCTATGTTCAATACACTACACTATCTATTGCCAATTAGAGCCACAGTGGGCCAGCAATAAGATCATCTATCTCCTTTTCGCTTCATTTTATAATGGATACTGTGTAAGCCAATTATTAAAAGTAGCTTTAGGCAGCCTCAGTGGTCTAGCGGTTTAGCACATCACTCGGGTTCGATTCCTCGCACAGCACAAACATTTATATGCATGTGTATAATTGTTTTATTGTAGTTTATTCATGTAGTAATAAGAAAAAAGACTGGGTAAATGGAGAAAAATATATATTAATTTAGACTACTGACATAACAGAATAGAAAGAAGGAATTGAAGTATCAAAAACAAGAATGTAATATAAAAGAACTTTAAATTCAAATACAAATTTAGAATATAAAATACATATCTAATTAGCCAGATACAACATTTTGTATCAGTCTGGGTTTTTACTATATATGATATTTATGAATTTATGAAAAAAATATACCCATGTATTTGTATCAGTTATCTAGTACCCATAACAGAAGCTTTAGCTAGCTTAACTAGGGTCGGATGGCGCTGTGAATTGTCCTGAAATTATTATATACTTTATCTTTGATTTGCCTTATAAGACACATCATCTTCAATGGCCCATCCACCTTATATTTACTAATTGGCCTCACAAGAAACATAGACCTCAAGCGCCTCTTTTAGTGCAGCGCAGTTGTATATATTTATATATAATATGTAAGTGTATGTAATTAGTGTATTTATTGTATTAAAAAGTAGGTTAAAAATACACAAATACATACATGTATTTTTTTTATTTTAATTCTATTAGCCGCATTCATATATCACTGCACATCTCAAAAATTGACTGAGAGAGAATTCTATAGCATTAAGTCCACCTTTTGTACCAATTTTATCCAATTTAGTACCAATTTAGTGGTCAATAAAGTAAATAATTATTCATACAAAAAACTTCAGTTTTAACCTCTTAACTGTGCATCATGAAATTTAGTAAACAGCACTTAAAGTGGAAAAACATAGGTTAAATGTATATGCCGGTCAGACCTGGCGCATGACGAAGTCATAGGCTGAAACTAGTCAAATATCGTTACCTTGTGATAATATTGCCGATCCATCCGATTTGCTCAAAAAGTTTAATTCGCATTTCATAGGTTTCAATTTAAATTCTTTGCTCATTTCTTCATCTGCACCCATGACTATAATTGTAATTATAAATCTACAGAATAAATAATTATATTCTGAATACTTTTGAGAACATTTAAATTTATTTATTACGATAACAATTTTGTTTGATTTTGGTACTGTTATTTAAAGTCAAAAATGACATTACTAGAGGTGGGAGTTGAACGAACCGTTTTATTAAACTATTTTTTGTGCGAACGATTAAACTAGTTTGCAGTTCACAGATAAAGTAGTTTATTCGGCGACTGGTTGATGTGTCTTGTTGATGAGCCGATTTCGATGACGACGTCAACTATTCGAAAATAATACTGCTTTTTAAACTAGTCCATCGTCGACGGTAAACAGTTTAGTTACACCTACTGTAACATCATTAACGACACACCACTAAATATACAGACATTTGACACAAATGATACTGACTGTCACCTTAAAGCAGAAGACCATTTCCTAATTTCCCTGCCAGCTGCCAGCATACATCAATTAATATAATTATCGATGAATAATTAATATCAAATTACAAATATCAATAGTTTCCCGATTTCCTGTCATTTTGCATTTCCAATCATATTTTTAAGTCTGTCCTGTGTCCCTGTCATGTGTTCTGAGTTGGTTGACTGTTTTTGATGATATTAACGAAAACATCGATATGTTATCGAAGATTTAACATCGATAAACATCGACATCCCTAAACTGTCAAGCAAACCAGAAATGTCAACAAACACAATAAAGGTCATATAGACAAATTATTTCCTTATTTTGATTTATTTTACTAATAATTATTGTTATTAACAGTTCATAATTTGGTGACGAATATAACATTATCCAAAATGAAGACACGATTTAATACCTACGATATAGTATGCATGGTCACGGAATTACAAAGGTAAGGTTATGTTTTTATTTTAATAACTCTTCCATTCTAACACGTATACTGCACCATTGTAATTTTATTTGCTTACGATCACGAATAAATTGTACGTCTTTAAATAGTTAATCCAATTCTTCTGGCTAAATATAAATTTTATAATATGTATAATTTAAAGTTTATTCTGTAAAGGAACTGTTTAATCATCTGATTCAATAAATTATAGAATTAATATAATCTATGCGGTTTCGGAATATATGTGACTACACTGAGTTCGAATTTTGAAAATTTCTTCGTACTGCTTAGAACCATTTGAAAAATTAATTAAAGAATTACAAATTTGTTGTATTTTTGTTTTTTTTCGTATGATATCTTAAATGAGTTTCTATCATAAATAAGATGTCAAATTATTTCTTTTTCTGTATAGTCGACAGATTATATTTCATATTACTTTATTCACAAATGTAACAAATCTCGTTACACAACAGCATGTCAATAGTAATTACATTTTCAAGATAATTATGTCACAATTACAATTTTAAGTATTCAAAATAATAAATTAAATAATATATAACATAGTAATAAAAGTCACTTAATGGAAAATGTCATAATTGTACATTGGAATTCAGATATTCCGTCACATTGTAAAAAGGATGTTGTTCGAAATATGATTTTATTTTGTTCTTAAATTCTGTTGATGTTAATTGCATTGTTTTATTTGATAGTTTATTGTACATTTTTATTTTTAAGTAAATACCTTGTTTTATTGTTTTTGTAAGTCGTAATCTTGGTAATTCTAATTTATGTCCATTTCGTGTCATGTAATTATGGTTATCCGCCTTTTTACGCAGTGTTTTGCTCTTTTCGTGTATGTCTAACAAGGAATAGTATATGAACAATGATGTAACTGTCATTAGAAGTATACTGTATACAGAAGAGAACAGTCTGATATGACTTACTAGACTATCATAAAAAGTAGCCTATTACGTTATTACATCCAAGTTCCACCTATATGCCAAATCTATACATCTATGCTTCTATACATATAAATAAAATTGGAGTGTCTGTTTGTAATATTGAAATAAACGGTTGTTTCAATATTACAACTTGCATATGAATATAAATATGGTACATACACCAAAATAACATTTTTTGTCTGTCTGTCTGTTTGTTCTGGCTAATCTCAGAAATGGCTGGACCGATTTTGATAGGAATTTTTTGGCAGGTAGCTGATGTAATAAGGAGTAACTTAGACTACTTTTATTTTAGAAAAATTAAGTTAATTTTCAAACAGATGAAGTCATGGGAACAGCTAGTTATCAATAAACCTCTTCACAAGTTAACACCTCAAATAATCATGACATTTGAGGCATTAAACTATAAAAAGGTTATACTAATATTAAAATTTATAATATTTATAATAATTTAACTAAATAAAATAACTATACATTTAAATTTCCAATCAGAAATTACAGAACATTACACAAGATTACACAATATGTAATACTTTATTTATAGAGTTGTGCAGTAAATATCTAATCTTAATAATAATTTTTGATAATATCATGTTTGGTAAATAATTAATCATGGCAGAGATAATAATTAATATGCTTCCTGCTTCAGGAAGTGATATCTGCTAATTTTTATGTCTATAGTTGATGACTTGGTGAGCTAAATTTAGTAAACATAGACAAAACTTGTAGTTGTCTATGACTTTAGCAACTTCAGCGCTGCAGTGACATGTTGCAGCACCAGCTATGTGGAGGCCCTTTCAGCTCATAGTTTGATATTAGTTTTGAAGTTTTCTATATTTTTACTCTGTATGCTGAATAATATATTTTCTATTCTATTCTACAATGGAAAAAATGGTAAAGATTTATAATTTAGATACAAAAACACAAACTACAACAACGACAAAATATAACTTTTTCTTACAGTTTAATTGGCATGCGAGTGAATCAAGTGTACGACATAGACAATCGTACATATGTGATACGTCTCCAGCGGTCCGAGGAGAAGAGGGTGCTGCTACTGGAGTCTGGCAACAGGTTCCACACCACACATTTTGAATGGCCCAAGAATGTCGCTCCTTCTGGGTTTACTATGAAAGTTCGTATTTAATTATTATTTATTGTAAACATGTACAACATTTATTTGAAAAGAATACGAGCTGAGAGTTTCTTGTCAATTCTTCTGACATGAAAATCATTCCAAACTGATGGTCGATTTAACATATTATAAGAGTCTGTAATAGACATACATACATAAAGATATTTTGAATTGAAAAATTCAAATTTGAATATGAACTATAGGGTAAGAAGCATGACGTCTTAGTTCTCTAGAATAGTTTAATCATAATTCAATTCATGATTGGTACGTCTCGTGATAACGTGATATCCATTACCATCAGTACATAAAATAAAAAAAACATTTATTCAAAAGAGCAACACACAAGTTTCTTGCTCATTCTTCTTGTGATGAATCTGCATTCCGAATGAGTGGTAGAATCAAAATATGACTATTCTCAAGTGTGTGTAATGAATTTATTTTGAATAAAGATTATTTATATTTCTATTTCATCAGATAGCAAAATTGCATATGTTATATAGGGATGGAGCAGGAGTGCAATGTATGATTCATTTTTATCTCAAATTTATTTAAAAACATTTCTAACAAAAATGTCCCTTCCCTTTGTAGTTACGTAAACACTTGAAGAACAAGCGTCTAGAAAGCTTCACGCAGCTCGGTATAGATCGTATAGTGGATTTGCAATTTGGAAGCGGCGAGGCTGCCTACCACGTCATCTTAGAGCTGTACGATCGGGGAAACATCGTGCTCACAGATTACGAATGGACCATACTGAATGTCCTGAGACCTCATGTGGAAGGTGATAAAATCAGGTTCGTAGATTCTTGCTTCACTACAAAGATTTTGTGTATTTTTTTCTCAGGACAATTCACACAGCGCCATCTAGGCCGAAATTAAACTAGCTAAAGCATGTGATATGGGCACTAGATAACTGATACAAATACATGGATATTTTTTTTCGTGATTCATAAATATTACTATTGTAAACATGTACAACATTTATTTGAAAAGAATACGAGCTGAGTTTCTTGTCAGTTCTTCTCATCTTGAAATCATTCCAAACTGACGGCAGATTTGACATATCATAAGACTCTGTAATAGACCTACATGAATAAAGATATTTTGAATTTGAATAGAAAACACCTAGACCGACACAAATAATCATACTCATAATCAACCCACGACCATCGGAAATAAGATGGTGTGTAAAACTGCTACACCACCGAGGTCGTTGGTAGCTACTTTATTATAACTGTGTAACGCGAACGCGAATTTGTAATTGTTACCTGTTAATTTTACTTATAATTGTTGCAGATTTGCAGTAAAGGAGAAATATCCGCTAGACAGGGCGAAAACTAGCTATGCAGCGCCATCTAGTGACGCACTCAAAGATATCCTATCGAGGAGCAAGCCTGGGGATAACTTGAAGAAAATCCTCAATCCTAATCTAGGTTAATAATTTTTTATTTACATTTGCCTCATGTAAGAGTGTGGTCGGGGTCTGAATTGATTACCTATAAATGTTTCAAGATATTTAGATCGTTATTTTATCCTCAGTTCTGTATAAATTGAGGCATTATGTGACAAAATACAATGAATATAACTATCGTATTTAATAACTGAAAGCATCAGCTTTACTAATACCTTTACCAACAGATTAGCATTACTGTTGGAGGGAGAAATTGGTAATAATGTGGACAAATATACCCATTGCTAGCAATGGAAAGCTGACCTCCACGCGGTCCCCTCTTAAAACCATTGTGGTAAATTGACATTTGTCAAATACATAGGCTAACTGATCTGACTTCATGCTCATCTTATCATCCTCCACTGGTGCCCCGCCAGCGTAAACCGTTAGCACAGGCATGAGTGCTATGTCCTTATGACATACGTCATTGCTGTTTATCACCTTCCATCAGGTAGAATGCGATATCGTCGGTACTCTAGTCCTATAAAAACATTTGATGGGCTCGGTGGTTCAGCGGTTTTCCGGTGTGCAAAACCGATTCACTTCCGACGGTCGTGGGTTCGATTCCTCGCACGCTACAAACGTTTGTATTCATGAGTATAATAGTTTGTATCGATCTAAGGGTTTTGTATGTATATTATATATGTATATATGTATTTATATAAAAACATATCTAAAATTTATATCAGTTGTCTAGTACCCATAACACCTCTGCTTAACTTGTGACTAGATGGCGCTGTGTGAATTGTCTAGGATTATTATTATTATTAGGTATTTATATTGTTAACAGAGTTTGGAGCTGCAATAATAGACCATGTGTTACTTGAGAACGGACTGTCAGGTAACCTGAAGGTCAGCACGGATCCCAACAAGGGTTTCTTTGTGGAAAGAGATCTCGACAAGCTGACAACAGCGCTGAAGAAAGCGGAGCAATTGCTGGATGCAGCGAGACTGGAAGTTGCGAAAGTATGTTTCAAAATGAGTTCTTGTTTGTGATATGTAACTTTATCCATTCTTCTATATTCTGGCGTCATGCAAGGTCTATCATATACTATATTATTTTGGGTAGCAGCTGATCGTTAGGTATAAATTCTGCCCCAATTTTGCGTGGGTGCACATATTGTAGATTTTTTTAATTAAACTCTTCTCATGCTGTTGTTAATGGTCAAAATATTTTAAAAAAGGTTAGGTAATTATTGTCTTTATCCGATACAAACACAATAAAAATTGACACTTTATAATTGTCATATATATTGACTGTTTCTTCACTGATATGGGTGGGAAAGCTAAGGTTGAAGTGAGATTCTACAGCACAATGTACCCCAAAGAGCCTTTTAAATTTTTAAATCGTTCGGTACAACGGATCAAAAAAAAATTTCCATGGCCATAGAGTATAAAACAAAATGTTAAAATCTTTTTCCGTGATTCATCTCAGATGATTGCATGAGAACCGAAAAAAAAACTTAAAATATTTTACCTAAAAACCTTGACAACTAGAATCAAGCTTCAAGAGTTTATTTTTTATTTTCTGTACGACTATTTTTTACTGAAATAGAACCTGTTGAAAATCACCCATAAATTTGTAAAAAAATTCTGTTCCCTTAATTTTTGCGAGAAGTGTAGTACTTAAGAGATCTTGGATAAAATTCAGTCTGGTTTCTACCAAATTTAGTGTCCTCTAATGTGTATTGAATAACGGACCCAGAAAATAATACCACTTTCCTGTTCACTAGTATTTATAATGAGTAGAATTATTTTTATTGTACTCTATGAGTTCTTTGTATTTTTTTCATCCGGCTCGAAGGACCATAAACTGTAGGGTCCTATGCTAAGGACTTTCAAACCCAGGATCAAATACTTACTTATGTGGACTGTAATTTGGTATAGGTTTAATTTATAATGCAGTGAACGAAATAAATGTAATAATGAGCGCGCGAGTCGTTCTCGGTGGCGAGATATGGAGTGTGGGCGGCCGGTTCGGTGTTGTTCGCGCCCATTTAGATCCGCGCCCCGCAGCATCCAGCTCGCGGACTCCAATCGATTTATCAGTCCAATTTTGACCTTATCTTCTAACCTATATATTACAATAATATTGAAATGTGATTTAATCTAATGCCTATAAATTTATCACCAGGGCTTCATAACTCAGAAGAAGGAGGAAAGACCTAACCCAGAGGGAGATGAGCCCATTTACTTCTTCACCAACATTGAGTTTCATCCGATGTTGTACTCCCACCACCGAGGCCAGCCACACCAGGAATATGAGACCTTCGACCGGGCTGTGGACGAGTTCTTCTCCGCTTTAGAAGGCCAGAAGATTGATTTGAAGGCAAGTATAAACAACGAACATGCTTAATTAAAACCCATTATAACAAATGTCCTTAAAAAGTATTTCTAAAGGTATTTCCAAAAAACTTTGTGGTTGACGTTGTTTGACGGCCTCAGTGGTTGTAGCGGTTGAGTACACCGCCTTACTTGCGGTGGTCGCGGGTTCGATTCCTAGCACAGTACAATTTGTATTCATGAATATGATTGTTTGTATCGGTCTGGGTGTTCTCTATGTACATTATGTACGTATTTACAAAAAAATCAATATTCTAATACCCATAACACAAGCTCTTCTTGACTTAGGACTAGATGGCGTTGTGTGATATCATACGATTAATATTTCATATTACTTTATTCACAAATGTAACAAATCTCGTTACACAACAGCATGTCAATAGTAATTACATTTTTAAGGTAATTATGTCACAATTACAATTTTAAATATTCAGAATAATAAATTAAATAATATATAACATAGTAATAATATTAGACACTGATAAAAATCTAATATTAATCCGAGAGAGGTCAGTGACCTCACCCCTTGCCTTTAAGGCATCTAATTAAACAATACTGCAAAAGACTAATACCTTTTAAATCTAAACATCTTTTTTTAAGTTACGTAAATAAACAATTTAACATTTACAGACTGTTCAAATAGAAAGGGAAGCTATGAAGAAGCTTCACAACGTACGGAAAGACCACGAGAAACGAGTCACGGAACTGACCCATGTGCAAGTCGAGGACAAGAAGGCGGCAGAACTTATATCACGCAACGAGCCCCTCATAGAACAAGCACGGCTCGCAATACAGACAGCTATAGCTAATCAGGTATAATACTATATACATATAAGTATATTAAATATATATATTATAACGATATATATATGGTAGGGTTAACAGCACAAACATTTGTATCTGGGTGTTTTCTATGTATAATATGTATAAATTTACAAAAACGAATCTCTGTATATGTATCAGTTATCTAGTACCCATAACACAAGCTTTAGCTAGCTTAATTTGGGTCTAGATGGCGCTGTGTGAGTTATGCAAAACTACTTGGAAGGATGAATTTTGATGAGACTTTACAGTGATATTGTTTATGCATCAGAAATAGGCTATATTTTATATTGAAATTTAACGCGGCTAAAACCGCGGGCACAGCTAGTATATATATCTTACTAATATTATATATGTGACAGTAGGGATCTTTAATGGATTCAATGCGAGCGAAGCCGCGGGTAAAAGCTAGTACTACAGTAAACAAATAATAATAATAATTTCTGGACAATTAACACATCGCCATCTAGACCCAAGTTAAGCTAGCTAAAGCTTGTGTTATGGGTACTAGATAACTGATACATATACATAGATTTTTTTTTTTTGTAAATACATACATATTATACATAGAAAACACCCAGACCGATATAAACAATCATACTCATGAATACAAATGTTTGTGCCGTGCGAGGAATCGAACCCGCGACCATCGGTCGTAAAGCGGTGTGCTAGACCGCTAGACCACCGAGGTCGTCGTAATATGTAGCGACACCACATCATATATAACGCTATAGTGGTGAGGTTATAACTACCGAGCTACAAATCCATAAAGATAATTTCAAATTGTTGCTTACAGATGTCGTGGGATGACATCAAACAACTGGTAAAGACTGCTCAAGACAACAATGACCCAATAGCCTCCAGCATCAAGGATCTCAAACTAAACATCAACCACATCACACTGCTGCTGAACGACCCTTACCAGACCAGTGATGATGATGATGCTGAGAGTGGTGATGAGAAACTGAAGCCGATGCTAGTGGATATAGATTTGTCACTGACTGCTTTTGCTAATGCTAGAAGGTACTGATGTAGTTTCAGATTATTTATGCAAAAAAACTTTCCAATATAATTGGTATAAAAGCACTATAGTATTAACTTCATCACTTCAAAAGAATCAAATCAAAATCGAATATAGCCGAATCGAATGTATATATATATATATATAAATGTTAAAATGTCATTTATCGTCCTTTCGTTCGTGGTTTACCATCCATATAAGGCCGCAGATAGATAGATAGATAGAAAGTTGGTCGACAGTTAGTCGAATTTTATTTTATTACTGTATATCAGCAACCTAACACACTTGCACTTCTCTTAAAAATGACACTATCTTAGTAATAATAGTGTATTATTAATTTGGCAAACTAATATATTGAAATCATCATAGGTACTACGATCAGAAACGTAACGCTGCGAAAAAACAACAGAAAACCCTGGAGTCAGCGGGTAAAGCTCTTAAAAGCGCTGAACGAAAAACAAAGCAGACATTGAAGGAAGCGCACACGATCAGCAGCATCAGTAAAGCGCGGAAAACTTACTGGTTCGAGAAGTTCTATTGGTTCATATCTTCTGATAATTATTTGGTAAGTTTATTTTATTTATTTACTAACCGTCTCGGCAAACGTGTTTTTGCAATGTAAATTTAAGTACTAATAACGCCATTCAAAAATAAGGGTTGGTGGTAGATGGGTGTATATTTAGGGTTGTATGTATTTTTAATATCATATTATAAAAAAATGTCCAAAAAAACAAAAAATAAATGTTAGGGGCGCCCAATCGTTCAGGTCGATAATAATAGCCGATTCTCAGTCCTACTGAATATGCATAAAATCGGTCAAGCCGCTTGGGAGGAAAACGGTAACTAACATTATGACCCTAATAGTGTAACAGCTACTTTGTTAAAATATGTGGAAATAGTAATTGGATGTACACGGTGGATACCCTCCACCATGATCTGAAATGGAACGCTGCGAAAAAACAACAGAAAACTCTAAAGTCAGCGGGTAAAGCGCTTAAAAGCGCTGATCAAAAAACAAATCAAACATTAAAAGAAGCGCACACCACTAGCAATAGTAAAACGTGATAAAATATGTATAAATAGTAATTGGATGCAGTGACGTAGTTAGGTAACCAAGGGCCCTGGGGCAACTCCAAAAATTGGGGCGCAATTTAGGGGAATTCAGAAGGTATAACTTTCGAATTTCTCTCAACTAAGTTGCCATGATTAAAGTCGGGTTGCAACCTGTCATATTTATTTTGAAAACGGGAGAAATTTTAAAAAGAGAGATTTTCTAGTAAGTTTTCGAGGGCCCCGGGGCACTGCCCCGCCTAGCCCCTAGGTAGCTACGCCACTGATCGGATGTACACTGTGGACGGTAGGTGATAGCGGGCCGCGACCAGCAGCAGAACGAGTTGCTGGTGAAGCGTCACCTGCGGGCCGGCGACGCGTACGTGCACGCAGAGCTGGCCGGAGCAGCCTCCGTGCTCGTCAAGAACCCCGCCGCACACGCCCTGCCGCCGCGCACGCTGGCCGAGGCCGGGCAGGCCGCCGTCGCATACAGGTATACAAAAATAAGTGGTAAATCAACCTCGAGTCCTCAAGTATGCAGGACAGGTTGCCGTTGCAACAAAACAAAGTGTAAAATCTCAAAAAAAAATCCCCAAGTATGGCTGTTTTTCAGTTAGGCTACGTTTTGTTCTGCCGCCGCGGACCCTCGCCGAGATAAGGCAGGCTGTCGTTGCCTATAGGATTACAAAAAAGTATTAAAGCAACAAATAGTGAGTCCCCAAGTATGCAGACCCGCAGTATTGTAAAGTGTTGTAATCGGAAAAAAATTTACCGCTCTACATACTTACTTACACTATCATAAAAAAACAAATCCCCAAAAATAAACATATATTATTATAAAGAATCTGCAACCCTATTCTATCAATTAAAAACAACTGACCATTTTGATGATAACAATAAAAATTACAACTGATATTAGGGCTGTCTTTTATTGTTATTGTATTTTTGTATAACAACTTTGAACACATACTTTACGTTAGGAACGAAGTTTTTCGTTACCATGCGTACTTTCATATCCTTTCCGACTAACCTTGTATGTCATGACAATCTGATTCTCTTACTATAGTAATATATATATATACTAGCTGTACCGGCAAACGTTTTGCCTTAAAATAAAATAAAAATTTAGGGGTGGACTACCCCTAACATTTAGGGGGATGAAAAATAGATGTTGGCCGATTCTCAGACCTACTCAATACGGTCACAAAAATTTCATGAGAATCGGTCAAGCCGTTTCGGAGGAGTATGGGAACGAAAACTGTGACACGAGAATTTTATATATAAGATATATATGTTGGCAGCGTGGCGTGGGAGGCGAAGGTGGTGACCCGCGCGTGGTGGGTGCACGCCCACCAGGTCTCCAAGACGGCGCCCACCGGCGAGTACCTCACCACCGGCTCCTTCATGATCCGCGGCAAGAAGAACTACCTGCTGCCGGACCAGCTGCACTTCGGGTTTAGCTTCATGTTCCGGGTAAATTTTCCCATACTTCTAATGTCCTGTGGTATTCGATGAGCGTTTTGTCCACTGATTATTATATTAAGTTTATTTGAATAAATATTATTTATATTTCTAATTCTGATGTAACAATGTGTGCGATTGGCTTTGAAAGCTTTTTAACGCATATTTTTATATCTCATACAAAATTGACATTACCTATCTTGCTGCGATTCTTATTTTGCCGACCTCCGGTGTTCTACCTGCTTACCATGTCGTACTTCTGACAGTCGCAGGTTCGATTCCTCGCACAATACAAACATTTGTACTCATGAGTATGATTGTTTGTACAGTCTGGGTATTTTCTATAAATATTATATACTAGCTTTTACTCGCGACTTCGCTCGCATAACTTCATTACTGGCTGAAGTAGCAAAATATTTAAATTTTATGTTTGTTTTTTATAAAAAAAAAATGTAATGAAAAGTATCCTATGTTCATTCTAATACTTCCAAGAACATGTGTACAAAATTTCATGATGATCGGTTTAGTAGTTTTTGCATGAAAGCGTAACAAACATCCGTACTTTTACATTTATAATATTAGTAAGCATTTATTTGCAAAAGTGTATGATATTTATATCAGACGTCTAGTACCCATAACACAAGCTCTGCTCACCATGGGACTAGATGGCGCTGTGTAATTATACAGGGTTATTTATTTATTTATTCAATTCTATTCCAGTTGGAGGACAGCTGTATAGAGCGTCATCGTGACGAACGGCGCGCAGCAATCGCTGATGACGTGTCGGAGGTCACCTCCACACTAGAAGAAGACCAAGAGATCATAGTCTCCGATGACGGTGAATATTATAACGGCCTCGGTAGACCAGCAGTTTAGGACACCGCCTTACATCCGATGGTCGCGGGTCGATTCCTCGCTATATTCAAACATTTCTATTCATGAGTATGATCGTTTATATCGGCCTGTATTCTATGTATTTATAAGTATTTCTGTCATTTGTCTAGTAACAGAATCTGTTAGCTTGGAACTAGATGGCGCTGAGTGAATTGTATAGGGGTATAATTTAAATACAAGAAAAAAATGTCGATATTGAATAAATACAGTAAATAGATGAGGGAAAATGTTAGGACACTTTATATGTTAAGATGAATTTATGTAAATTACTAGCTGTCCCGGCAAACGTTGTTTTGCCTTAAAATAAAAAAAAAATTAGGGGTGGACTACCCCTAACATTTAGGGGGATGAAAAATAGATGTTGGCCGATTCTCAGACCTACTCAAAACGCTCACATAATTTCATGAGAATCGGTCAAGCCGTTTCGGAGGAGTATGGGAACGAAAACTGTGACACGAGAATTTTATATATAAGATTATTGAGGGAAAAATAGAAGAAAATAATAGAAGGTGAAGACTAAATGATGAATAATTAATTTAGTGAAACAAGTCGAAACAGTATAATATATTAATCGAAATATTTAATGCAATTATTGATATTTGAACCATTCTGCTTGTTTATTTATTTATTTAATTAACACAATATAAACTTACAGCTAATAGCCAACACGTTTATATTTTAAAACAATTTTTACTACTTAAACTATACAATGATAAAAATATTCTTATTTTATTTATTATGGAAGGCAAGGCTTCTGTGTATACGTCAGCATCTTGGACCTTACCTAAAAATAGATTTAATAATTGCAATGCTGTCATAGTGGGAGAATTGTTAGCGTGGCTTGTGCGTACCGACTACCATCTTTATAAGTTGTTTACCATTTCTATAAGTTTTATTGGAACAGAGTGTAGTAATTATTTCTTTTTTAGATGAACCATCAGATAAGGAAGATGAGAAGTCATCAGGCAAGTTAGACACAATAGCAGAAGAAACCAGAAAGTTAGGCATAAAACAAACTAATGGTATACAGCTTGGAGAAGAAGTAGAGAAGGAGACGGTAGAAGATGCAAACAATGAGGAAAAACAGGAGAAAGAAAGTGAAGAGAGTGAAACAGACAGTGATGACAGCGACGGAGTTTTCCCAGACACACATATTAAGGTAAGTTGTGATGAAATTGTCAAATTCTTTACTGTACTTTTAAATACAGTAGAAAACTTAATCATGTACAAAGTGAGCAGAGGTGGACTTGTCTCTAAAAGAGATCTCTAAGAACCTAACAGTGAGGCATAGCTAGTAGTGAGTGGGTAACACTAGTGCAATTTAAAAATAGAGTATGCTTTCCGAATGTGCGGTAAAATAAAAAAAAATATGACTATTCAAAAGTGCTTTTAATTAATTAATTTCAATAAAGGTTGTTTCAATTTTATGCACTCGCAAATTGGCTCACAGGCTATGTTACTCTGTTAGTATACAGGCGATGGTTGCCAATTCCCATTAAATGAACCGTCAGCTTGTTTAAATTTTATACACTCGCAAATTGGCTCACAGGCTGTTACTCTGTTAGTATACAGGCGATGGTTGCCAATTCCCATTAGATGGACCGTCAGCTTGTTTAAATTTTATACACTCGCAAATTGGCTCACAGGCTGTTACTCTGTTAGTATACAGGCGATGGTTGCCAATTCCCATTAGATGGACCGTCAGCTTGTTTAAATTTTATACACTCGCAAATTGGCTCACAGGCTGTTACTCTGTTAGTATACAGGCGATGGTTGCCAATTCCCATTAGAACCGTCAGCTTGTTTAAATTTTATACACTCGCAAATTGGCTCACAGGCTGTTACTCTGTTAGTATACAGGCGATGGTTTTCCCATTAGATGGACCGTCAGCTTGTTTAAATTTTATACACTCGCAAATTGGCTCACAGGCTGTTACTCTGTTAGTATACAGGCGATGGTTGCCAATTCCCATTAGATGGACCGTCAGCTTGTTTAAATTTTATACACTCGCAAATTGGCTCACAGGCTGTTACTCTGTTAGTATACAGGCGATGGTTGCCAATTCCCATTAGATGGACCGTCAGCTTGTTTAAATTTTATACACTCGCAAATTGGCTCACAGGCTGTTACTCTGTTATATACAGGCGAACAATTCCCATTAGATGGACCGTCAGCTTGTTTAAATTTTATACACTTGCAAATTGGCTAGGCTATGACTCTGTTAGTATACAGGCGATGGTTTTCCCATTACATGGACCGTCAGCTTGTTTCAATTTTATGCACTCGCAAATTGGCTCACAGGCTATGTTACTCTGTTAGTATACAGGCGATGGTTGCCAATTCCCATTACATGGACCGTCAGCTTGTTTGCCATTTCTGTTATATAGGAAACAAATTGTAATACCATATTGATGATAATTTTTATTAAAAATTAAAGGCATGTCAATTTTGTTACAGGTGGACCATGGGACAGGCCAAGTGATTTTAGAAACCAAGACCAGAACTATATCAGAGGTGTCAGATACAAGTAAGTTGAAAATTCAATAGAAATAATGATAAACTTTTTAATATTTAATTTTAAACACATAATTTGACAAAAGATGCTTATAATTTATTTATTAATAAGTATTTTATTTGGGTATAGATTACTACAAGTAGTCACCCACAACATTGTCTGCAAAAATTTTCATTCCCAATTTCATCACTTTCCAGATTGTGTTATATAATATACAAAAGATATCTTAAAGTTGGTAATTTTCAGGTGATAATAAAACATTTTCATTCCCATCTCTGCCGAAAAAGGGCGGTAAGAAACCACAAAAACCAAAAGAACAGAAGAAAAATGAAGAGAGACAAGAGAAGAAAGACGGAATGAAGCGCGGGCAGCGCGGGAAATTGAAGAAGATTAAAGAGAAATACAGGGATCAGGATGATGAGGATAGAGTTATCGCTACGGAATTGTTAAAGGTAATTTCTAAACTACATACATATACGTACATTATTCTTTGGGGCAGGCAGGAACAATATCTATACTTAACATTGTAAGGTGAGAAAGAGAGCTGATTTTGTTACGACGAAAATAAACTTCAGTACTCTGTTCGAAAAGTACGTTGTGTCATAGTGAACTATATTTAATGTTAATATACAAAAATGTTAAAATGATAGGCGTGCGTGCGGAGCCGAAGTTGACGGCCACTAGTTAATGTTATAAAGGCGAAAGAGAGAATTCTAAGAATGAATCTTGTTATGATTTCACGTAAAAAGTACTGAAGCGATTTGATTGAAATTTGATATACAGTATAGGTCATATTCCAGACTAGACTTGAGATAAAGAGTGTTCTGGAGCGGATTTTCGGGAATAATGAAATTAAAGACGACTCTTCGTCTTTAATTTCATTATTCCCGAACTTGTACGACTTCTATATTTTAACTTAATAAAAACTACAAAATTGTATGAGCACAAATCATACAAAAGTATAATATTTGCGTAAAAAAAATGGTAGGCGCTTTGACTTCACAACAGAGAGTAATACAAGATAAAGAGAGTAGTCTTGATACAATCTAACTTCGCATGAAATTTTATTACGATCCGTTCAGCCGTTTAATAATTTAAAGGTAAAAACAGACACTACTTTCGTGTTCTTACATAGGATGCTTGATACCCAAGTTCCGCCAAAAATAAAGCTAGTACTAAGTAAACTGTTATTTGCAGGCTGCCAATCAGGCGAAGGATTCGAAAAAGGCGCAGAAGAAAGCTGCCGCAGCTAAGGCGAATAAGGTGAAGACGGGTCCCCGAGGTCCCAAGATCCCGCAGCCGACGCCCCTCATACTCGAGGTCGAGTCCGGAGGCGAGGAACTTGACCCCGAACCAGAGGTAAGACGTTCAATTGAATAGCTGTATAGCAAACAACGAGCACGTGTTATCCATGGTTTTTTAGACGACTGTTAGCGACGATGAGGTAGTCAGAGTCGTTGTTGTGTTATGAACGCAATATATATATTTTTTATGTATGATAGTGGAATTGTTGAATGAAGTGAGGGGAAGGGAAGACCAAGGCACAGCTACGTCAAATTAAAAACAAAATTGGACTCGTGTCGTATTACGACCTCGGTGGTCTAGCGGTCTAGCACACCGCTTTACGTCTGATGGTCGCGGGTTCGATTCCTCGCACGGCACAAACATTTGTGTTCATTAGTATGATTGTTTGTATCGGTCTGGGTGTTTTCTATGTATATTATGTATGTATTTACGAAAAAAAAAATTATCTATGTACTTGTATCAGTTATCTAGTACCCGTAACACAAGCTTTAGATAGCTTAACTCGGGTCTAGATGGCGCTGTGTGATTTGTCCTGAGATTATTATTATTATTAATATTTAAAGAAAATGATGGAAGATCGTGGAAAGTAGCAAGACTGTAATAAGTGGCTCTTGAATTAGGAATGAATGAACTGAATGTTACACCTGTCTGCGCTAACGGTTTACACTGGTGGAGTATGATAAAATGAGTATGAAGTCAAGTCAGTTAGTCCATTATGACAAATTTATCACGATAAAGTCCAGGGGAACCACGTGGAGGTCAGTCCCCTTCCCCTCTGAATCAAACAGGACAAAGGGCGCGCTTGCCACCGTCTATCGGGTTAATTTTGGTTTGTTATAAGAGCTTATTCCTTTTTAAAAGGCCGACAACGTACTTGCAATTCCCCTGGTATTGCGGGTGCTCATGGGCGGCGGTAATCACTTACCATCAGCTCGTTTGTCTCCTGCGTTATAAAAAAAAACTAGTCAATCATATACATATTTAACGGCCTCGGCTGTCAAGCAGTTTAGCACATCGCCTTACTTCCGATGGTCGCGGGTTGATTTCTCGCACGATTCAAACGTTTTCATTCATGAGTTACGTATTGGTACGCACGTTACGTACGTTACATGAGTTACGTTTAGGTATTATTACCTCACAACACGCAGCACCGCCCCCGCAGCCCGCGGTAGCGGTGCGTTGGGTGTGTAGACAAATATATTTTTGTGACTTGATTTATACATGTGCCTATTTCTGGTATTGCAGGTTGAACAGGGTGAGCAGGGTGCGGATATAGACACGGAGCTGCTGTCTCAGCTGACGGGCTGCCCACTGCCGGAGGACGAACTTCTATTCGCAGTGCCGGTAGTCGCGCCTTACTCAGCACTACACAACTACAAGTACAGTACTCATTCTTTCTTACACGTTTTTTCTTACTTATGTATTGAGCCATGATGTCCCACTCCATAACTATAAGTACTCAACGTTTGTCCCGGTCGTAGCGCCCTACTCCGCACTACACAACTACAAGTACAGTACTCATTTTTTCTTACACGTTTTTTGCTTACTTATTCCCAGTCCATAACAAGTACACGTGTGAAAAAATATATCTCGACTTACGTCGCATATTTTGAGAACCTAACATGCCGTAAGTACGAGAACTGTCTGTAATTAATTATTATGTACCCAGGTACAAAGTTAAGCTAACGCCTGGCAGCAGTAAACGCGGGAAAGCAGCCAAGACGGCGGTGCAAGTGTTCCTGCGGGATAAGACAGGAACCAACCGCGAAAGGGACCTCCTCAAAGCGGTTAAGGAGGAAAACGTCGCCAGAAACTTCCCAGGGAAGGTCAAATTGTCCGCGCCACAGTTGCACAAGCATAAGAAATGATCACATCTACTCTATAGTATTAATTTCGTCCATAAATAATGTAATATTTTTTAGCAATTTTCCAGATCATTCTTTTTTATTTTTCACCTTTCTCGAGTCTATGAAACAACTTACTGACATTGACGACTATATGTCATCGACCTACCGATAGGAAATATTAAAAAAAAAAAAAACAGTATACATGTTAAAATAAATCAATGGGTCTAGAAAAGTTGACTTGGTATTTATCTGTATTTTATTGCAATTAAATCAAATAAATTATAATTTCAATATTGCTTGATGACGCCTCGTTTAGAGGATAAACACGTGTCGCAATATGGAGTAGATCGGATAACGGAATTTGATCATTAATAAAGGTGATAACGCTCTGAGTATTTGTGGTAATATGCTCAATCGTTCAATCAAAATATCTTTATTCATGTAGGTCTATTACAGACTCTTATGATATGTCAAAATCTACCGTCAGTTCGAAGTGCATTCGAGCTAAGAAGAACTGGCAAGAAACTTTTTATTCTTTTCAAATGTGCTTGTGCACAAAATACAGATTAATTTTTAAATTCGATAAATTATGCGTAGCTTATAGAATATTATTTTATTTGTGGTTCAGGATCATGTGTTTAGGACCTCACCTTCTTTATTCTTATTGAAAATTTAAATGAATAATTATACCAAACCAATTCAAGTGATTATATTGTTATATATATAAGTATCTTTTTTGTTGAATTTATAATATAATTTTTCATGAAAAATGTTTTTTATTACCTACCTGAACAATATATACCTTTTTATAATGAGTAGTTTCCATTGTCAGGTGCGCACTGCGACCTACATAGATCTATTGTGCTCGCCCTTTTTCAGAATTCGCTACCAAGACCCGTCAGGGACAAGGAATTGCGAGATACTCTTAACAAACATTAAACTTATATAATGTTACTAGCTACTCGCCCCAGCTTCGCACGGGTGTACATAAATATATATATAAACCATATATATTCCTCTAGAATCATCTCTATCTATTAAAAAAACTGGGACAGACAGCGACAGTAACTTTATTTTATACTATATAATGAAGATGAGTTGCATTATTTGATTTGTTTCCTGTGTATATTAAGTATGTATTTAACTATTCTATCAGTTATAATGTATCTACCTATAACACAAGTTCTGCTTAGCTTTAGATACAACTGTGTGTATTGTATAGAGTTATTATAGCTGCACCCAAAATACTTCCGCGTCGAATTTGACTTTATTTTTCTAAAATAAAAGTAGCCTAAATTACTCCTTATTACATGAGCTACCTGCCAAAAAAAGTGGTTTTCAAAATCAGTCCAGCCACTTCAGATTCAGATTAATGGAACAAACAGACAGACAGACCAAAATTGAAAGAAATGTTATCACCGTATTCATATTCATATGCATGTAGTAAAAAGGGTTATTTCAATATTACAAACAGACACTCCAATTTTATTTGTATGTATAGATTAAACATGGACTACCTAATAGAATTTAAATCTTTATTGTTCCTAAAAAATAACAATAAGTAACACTAACAACAAATACACCTACCGTAGTCAACAAGTTACCATCTAAATCTTTCCCTTGTTTTTAATGGCAACTACCGTTGCCAATATTCTAGAAACATGAATTTTTCCCTTCTCTTTTAACATTTTTGTTATTATAAAGATACATCGATTGCAATATCATAACGTAAAACTACAATAAACCTTCGCATGGACTTGACAACAGTGATAAATTTGTCACCGTGACAAAATGTCGCATTGGCTTTTTTTAACCAAATTTAACGACCGAAGAGCTTAGATGCCGGCTAAGCTATTTTAAAAGTACCATGTAGTGATGAAGTTGTCACCTTGACAAAATGTCGCATTGGCTGCTGAGTTTTAACCAAATTTAACGACCGAAGCGCTATAGATGCCGGCTAAGCTATAGCAGTTATTAGTACCATGTAGTGATGACGTTGTCACCTTGACAAAATGTCGCATTCTGCTCTTTAACCAAATTTAACGACCGAAGCGCTATAGATGCCTTCAATATAAGTTATTAGTACCATGTAGTGATGACGTTGTCACCTTGACAAAATGTCGCATTGGCTGCTCTTTTAACCAAATTTAACGACCGAGGAGCTATAGATGCCGGATAAACTATAAAGTTATTAGTACCACGTAAAGTGATGAAATTGTCACCTTGACAAAATGTCACATTGGCTGCTGTTTTAACCAAATTTAACGACCGAAAATACAGTTTTGAATTGTTAGTACCACGTGACTTATTCTTTACAAGCAACTAATTCATCAACGTTTGGTACTAAACGTAACATTTGATAGATCCACTATCTATTTATTATCTGTGTGTTAAACTATTCATCTTCTTCCTCGTCTTCTTCCCCGAAGCCCTCACCTTCGCCCTCGCCCAGCACTGGCAGTGGTACAGGTGGTAGATGTGCGATGCGGTACGCCTAGTAATAGACGAAATAGAATTAAAATGAAAATAACCCTTAACACACCTTGAACTTGTTCTACAGGCTGTAATGGATATATAATTAATTTAAAAATTTATCTTTAGGAGTTTTATACAGGGTTGGCAAAAAATGCACTGTAAGTTAGCCCTTAGCAGACCATGGTTCTAAACTGAAATATATAAAATTTTATATGTAAGACTTTCGTGTTCCCGCGACTTCGTCCGCGTGGAATTTAACTTTATTTATATATAATATAAAAGTAGCCTGGGAAAGTTATTCCTTATTACATCAATTACCTGCCAAAAAAAGTCCCGTCAAAATCGGATCCAGCCATTTCAGAGATTAGCCGGAACAAACAGACAGACAGACAGACAGACAAAAATTGTAAAAATTATATTTTTTGTATGTACCGTATTTATATTCATATGCATGTAAAAAAAACTTATTTCTATATTACAAACAGACACTACAATTTTATTTATATTTTTATATAAATACAATTTTATATATATAGATATACTATTTAATACACGTCTGACAATAATAAAATAACTTATATAATTTACAATGGCATATTCTAGTATATATATATATATATATATATATATATATATATATATATATATATATATATATATATATATAACAACTGTACCTCTTCATCCGCAAAGGTTGGGTCAGCCATCTCCATAACCTCTGGTCCTATAACATACTCGTCCTGCGGTCGGGGCAGCTGCGACGGGGAATAGTTCGGCGGACGGAACTTATGACCCCAGCCCACGTACATACATTCAGACTTTCTGAAATTATACAGTAGTTTTTTACTTTACATCCGTCATACTCGTGAACGGGTGCTGCTTGTGGAGACTGGTCTGTTCGGTGAATAAATCTGCAGCGCCATGTAAGATGATGTGTTACTTTTTAGAATTATTAAGGATTCCAAATAAACAGTCAACTTGAGAACGTCTTCATTTTTTAATGACTTACACAAATCCGAGCATAGACTAATACTCATAACATAATTGCACAGACTATAACAAATATTCTCCCTAATTTTAATATAAAAATAAATCTTTATTTTTGTAAATATGTCAGAATTTGAGAAGAATAAGAACTGAGTTTCTTGTCAGTTCTTAGCTGCGAACTGACGGTACCAGCACTCCAATCTGACGGTAGATTTGAAAAATCATATGTACGGCCCCTACAGGAATAAAGATCTTGATTGATTGAGCATTTTACCACAAATATTCAGTGCGGAATTCTGACCAACGCTACTGGAAGCTTTATGATCATTATAAGTGATCAAATTCCGTTATTGAATCATCGCCCACATTGATATATGTGGTTAGCCTTTAAGTAATCATCAGACAACAGAGTTTGGAAGCCTAATGTTGACTGTTCTACGACTAGATGCCAGATTCTATTCATTACCTCACAGTATTTTCTTTATATATATTAAACTATGACAAATTTTATACAGCATTAAATACAAAAAAATATAACATTGTTACGAACACTGTTTATCACAAATTACAGTAATAATCATAGAGTAAGACGATAGAGAGAATAATAATCTTAATCCCAAGTGAAGCTAGCTAAAGCTTGTGTTATGGATACTAGAACTGTCAATCTAATACTAATAACTACTAATCTAAAACTAGTTAATCCTCAAATCCGAGCATAGACTAATACTCATAACATAATTGCACAGACTATAACAAATATTCTCCCTAATTTTAATTAAAAAATGAATTTTTATTTTTGTAAATATATCAGAATTAGTTAGTTTTATCTCTCTTGGAGGATTAACTAGTTATTTAATTAGTTAATCCTCCAAGAGAGATTAAAGAACTGGGATCTCATACGTTATTCAAACGCAAACTAAAGAATTGGATGTCACTTGGTAATTTTTAGTGTCCAAGAATATTTAAGTAACACAAACACCTTCACGTATGCATGCCTGTATGGTAAATTTTGCTGATCAATCAATTACATGTAAAATCATATTAATTATAATGCTGTAACAATATTTCGCAAATAAATTATTTCATTTCATTTCTAGATAACTGATACAAATATATAGTAATATCATAATATATATTTTTTCGTAAATATATACATATTGTACATAGATACCAATACCAGATACCTATACCAGACTGATACAAACACTCATACTCATGAATACAAAATGTTTGTACCGTGCGAAGATCGAACCCGCGACCATTGGAAGTAAGGCTGAGTGCAAAACCACCGAGGTCGTACAGTAATAATATATATTTTTTACTCATGTATTTGTTTGTTTTAAATTACTAGGGCATGCTAATTAACGGTGGCGGAAATAAACAAAATAATATAAATACATTAAATAATAAAATTTACTTCAGAAAATTCAACCCAATTCATTAAAACAAAACTCACTTCCCATTAGTGGCGTATGCCACCGCACCGGGCCAAATGTTGCTTCTCAGCACTGCTAGAGCACGATCTGGTGCCAGGTTGGTACTGATGCGTGGGCTCCAAGCGGGCAGTCCCTCCACCCTGGCGTCTTCCGACAGCGGGCTGAACAGCGGCGGACCGACTTCCGGCTCCACTGGAGGTGGACCATCATCCTCTTCTTCTTCTAATCCTTCCTCCTGTGTTGGAAATATTAATGAACTAGCTACTCGCCCCTGCTAAGCCTGGGTGTCCATGTATTATATAAACCTTCCTCTTGAATCACTCTATCTATTTAAAAAAACTGCTTCAAAATCCGTTTTAAAGATTTAAGCATACATAGGGACAGAGAGCGACAGCGACTTTGTTATATACAAGGTTTACTTCTGATAGGTGCGGGTTCGATACCTCGCAACGACGATAACATTTGCTTTCATGAGTATAACTTTTACTATATTGTGCTAAGCTCCTAAATAAATAAAGGGAAAAAAACTGTTAGTATGTATCGGTATATTTTTATTTAGAAAAAAAAAATGTATCTAAGTATTTATATCAGTTGTCTAGTGCCCATAACATAAGGTCTGCTTAGCTTGGGACTAGCTGTTTTATAAATTATATTAGGTTTATTATTAAAAATTTTACCATTCCCATGTTAGGATTCCACCATAAGGTCCTTCCCTGTTTCAGTATACACCTGCCGTGGTGGACCCAGTACGTCAGATTCGAGTCTAGAAGATCTTTAATCGTATGCCCCTGGTAGAAAGGATTTGGGTTGAAATCCATGTCGCCTGCAGAATGAAAAAAAAATAGCTTCTTGTAGAGTCACTTATGTTATGAGCTTTTTTAATTAATTTTATTAAATTCTCTATTGTGTTTAATTTCTTTTTGTTTTTGGATGATGATATTAACTACTTCAGCCGCGATTTATATTATACTAGCTACTCGCCCCGGTTCGCACGGGTGTACATGTATTATACATATAAATCTTCCTCTTGAATCACTCTATCTATTAAAAAAAACCGCTTCTTAATCTGTTGCGTAGTTTTAAAGATTTAAGCATACATAGGGACAGACAGACAGCGACAGCGACTTTGTTTTATACTAAACTAGCTACCCACCCCGGCTTGCACGGGTGTACTTGTATTATACACATAAACCTTCCTTCTTAATCACTCTATCTATTTAAAAAACCGCTTAGTTTTAAAGAGTTAAGTATACATAGGGACGGACAGACAGCGACAGCGACTTTGTTTTATACTAAACAGCGCACTTACATGTATTATACACATAAACCTTCCTCCTTAATCACTCTATGTATTTAATGCTTAGTTTTAAAGAGTTAAGTATATATGATAATGACAGCGACTTTGTTTTATACTATGTAATGATAATGAAGATGCCCTTTACACGACAGGTGCGCGTGATTTAGCGCGGGAAAGCCAGTCTTGTGAGGGATTCCATTTTACTATTTTATTGATCACTCTTTCGCACGTGATAGCGCGTGTTTCAAGTCATTTCGCTTCCTGTTTCGTTATAAAGGTTGGGGTGCAGAAGAGAAATTACGCAGGCCCCTTTAGTTCTCCGAAATGGCAATGCACGCATGTAGCTATTGTTCAGATAACATCATTTTCGCCATGCTGTCCATACTTGTGCCCGACGGTTACCAATGTCCCTCAAGTGGCTATAAGATTTGTTGTCATCCCAATTGCATTCTAGAATACATATATATTTAGAAGTACGTCGACATACAAGACTCTACATACCATGTAGTACGGCCTATAAGGGTCTTTGAGTTGAAGTCCAAGTCACTCGATGGTGGATCTGATGGTGGTATCTTCATTGAGATCGTTATTGGTCATTTCGATGCCATAAAATCTTTAATTTCAAACATTTCAATTGTTGTTAGCCCTAGCTAGCCTTTACAGCTTTACTGGACGACGTCCTACTAAGTGGGACATCAGCTTGTTTACCATACCTTCTTCTTTGCGCTACTCCACTTTTAGTAGCTCTCCTAATTTTGCGGCGCCAAGACAACCTGTCCTAGGTTGTCGATTCGAGTCATTTTTCCGTTGAGATGAGATTTCATGCTGGAATGGACGATGTCCTACCATTAAGTGGGACATCAGCTTGTTTACCATACCTTCTTCTTTGCGCTACTCCACTTTTAGTAGCTCTCCTAATTTTGCGGCGCCAAGACAACCTGTCCTAGGTTGTCGAATCTAGTCATTTTTCCGTTGAGATGAGATTTCACGCTGGTCCACCAGACGTCCTCTACCTCTTTTATTTTCGTGCCAGTTGTAAAGCTTTTAAGACCATATATTCCTTATCTCTTCGCATTACATGGTCATACCATCTGAGACGTCTTTCGGTGAGTTTTTCTGTTTTTGGGGCCACTTTAAAACTATCACAGATTTATTCGTTTCAAATCTCGAATCGAAGTCTCGTGACTTCACCGAACCATTGCAATATTTTCTCTTCTGTGGTATGATAAAGCTTTTGTAAATGTCTTCTTAGTAACTGGCCAACATTCCACTCCGTATGGCATAGCCAGCCTTACTTTGTACTTGGTACCGTAGTTCCAAGAACTTTGGCCTTGGTTCGTCCTAGATAAAATTGTGTTAACTATAACACAGGTAAGGAATCGTCACCCTCTCATACCTGTACGAACCAAGTATCAATACCAATTATATAAAAAAAGCCCACCTCCGCCTTCTTCCATGTCTATATCCTCTTCCTCTTCACCAGAGCCGTACGTGTAGAAACCCTGCGGAGACACGCAGGTAGCGGCGGCGATGCGGGCTATCTGCGCGCGCAGGAAATTTCGCTCCGTGCCGTTGAACGGTGGAAACGAAAGGACCTGAAGAGCGCGAGATTAGCTTCCATGTAATTTCTGTTATTTAGTACAAATTTCCATACAAAAAGAAAATGACATAATAAAAATATTCCTGGACAAATTGCAAACATGTAGTCTCAAGCTAAGCAGAGTCTCCTTTGTGGGTACTACACAACTAATAGATATGTTTAACTGGTAAATCTGGCACTGGATATCGCTGCATTGCTGCTGACCCAGGGCTTCTGAACGTGGACATAGACATAAATATATAAAATTGTAATTTACTAACATAGTTTATAAGTTGTTTACTAATATAATATGGGTACATATCCGAAATAAATGAAATAATAATAATAAATATATACACAGATAACACCCAGATCAATACAAGTAATAATACCTATGAATACAGATGTTCGTACTGTGCGATGAATCCAACACGCGATCATTGGAAATAAAACGGTGAGTTGAACCGCAAGACCACAGAAGCAATCAAATAAACCATCACAACAAAATTTACCTCTGCATCCAAATCACCCGTCATGCACCGCACAATGTTCCTAGCGACCCTGATCTGTTCAGGAGTTACGTCTGGCAGACACACCCACGGTTCGCCAGGAAGGTGGCACACCCAGTACACCTGCAATTACAATAGAATAAGAATGGCAAACAAACTGATGGCCCACATGATGGTAAATGGTATATGAAATAGAAGTGAACCAGTTGTTTTCGATTGGTGATCTTCTAGCGTATTTGACACATCGATGGGCAGAGGCTATTGAGAGTTAGTCTGGATATTGCGAAGGCCTTTGATCGGGTTTGGCACAAGGCTCTTCTTTCAAAGCTACCATCCTTTGGGTTGCCTGCGAAGTTATGCAAATGGGTCGCCAGCTTTCTCGCTGATCGGAGCATCAAGATCGTTGTCGATGGTGCTTGCTCCGACCCACACTCTGTGAATGCTGGTGTTCCACAAGGCTGTGTGCTGTCTCCGACTCTGTTCCTTCTGCATATCAAGGACATGTTACAAGTCAACAACATTCATTGCTATGCGGATGACAGTACCGGAGATGCCTTGTACAGCGGCCATGCTAATATGTCGCAGGCAGAAGTTATAGAGTACCGGAACAAACTTGTGTCCGAAATCGAAACTTCACTCCACCAGGTTTCGGTTTGGGATCAGGAAAATTGTGTTCAATTCAACCCCAAGAAGAAACAAGTTTGCGCGTTTACCGCTAAAAAGAATCCATTTATCGTATCTCCTCAGTTTCAAGACACTCTCCTTGATGTGAAGCCAAATCTCGAGGTCCTTGGCGTTGATATATCCAGTGACGTTCAGTTTTGCGGTCATTTGGAGGACAAGGCTAAAATAGCCTCAAAGAAGCTTGGTGTGCTCAGTAGAGTGAGACGGTATTTCACGGCGGCCGATCGCTTGCAATTATACAAGGCGCAGATCCGGCCGCATATGGAATACTGTTCTCATCTCTGGGCCGGAGCACCACAATACCAGCTACTTCCATTTGACCGCATTCAGAACCGAGCAGCCAGAATCATTGATAATCAACGTCTATGTGACAGACTCGGCCCATTGGCTTTGCGGCGAGATATTGCATCACCGATACGATATTGAAACCTTCAAGAAAAGAGCTTATTCCTTTTTAAAAGGCTGACAACGTACTTGCAATTCCCCTGGTGTGCTCATGGGCGGCGGTAATCACTTACCATCAGGTGAGCCGCATGCTCGTTTGTCCCGTGTTATACAAAAAATAATAATAATGATCGTAATAATTAATAAATTGAAACTGTATTATTAAAATTGTATAATATTTAATTCAATATGTCATGGTACATTGCTAGCAATGGGAATTACTAGTTCCTATTACTAACAATCCTCTCCCCCAAATAATGAGATTGCAAAGCAATGATGATTCTTGAGGTGATGCTTTTTATTTTTCGGACTACTCTAATGCTGTTGGCCGCATCTGGCCTTTACAGCTTCACTGGACGATAGGGGACGAGTGCAGATGGCACTCCAAACCCGCGGAAGGACTTATGGAGCGGCTGAAGGCCAACTCCCGCCTGACGGATACGACCTTAGCCTGAGGGCACCACTAGGGGTTCGAACCTCGGCTCAGGCCGTCGTAATATCGATCCTCGTTTGAATTGGGCGGGGGATCGATCGGAGGGGATGGTGAGGTGACGTGATGCGTTTGTTCAAACCTTTTTATTGGCCCCTTGTCCGGGTCTCTCGTGGGGTATGGCCGGCGGGGGCTGCCAGGTGGATACGGGTAGCGGTGGTAGTTTTGGTGGCACCGGTTCCTTCGGTTTCTCTTCATGACCTTCACCTTCGCCCACTTCATAACAAACAGTCTTGGTATTAACCACATAATAAAGTTATTATGTGGTATTCATATTTTATGACTATGTACATACGTATGTGTACACTTAGATTCTAGAATGAACTACCTGCCGAGGTTTTCTCGAGAGACTACAGCATGGGGTTTTTCAAGAAGGGTATATTAAGGTTTCTTAAGGGTCGGCAACGCGTATGTCAGGCGTCAATATGCTACGGTGACCGTTTACCATCAGATGCGCCGTATGCTTGTTTGCCACCTAAGTGGTATAAAAAAAAATGTACAGGAATTTAATGAACTTAAAAATTCATATTATATTGACGGCCTCGATGGTCCGCTATAGCATAGCCCCTTACATCCGATGATCGCGGGTTCGATTCCTCGGTAAAATATTTGTATTCATTCTTCGTATTCACGCAGAATTGAGTACGATTATTCGTTTCTGGATGTTTTCTATGTATTTACACACAAAATGTACCTATCTATGTATTTATCAGTTATACAGTATACTCATAACAAGCTCTGCTAAGTTTGAGACTAGATGGCGCTATGAGAATTGTTAAAAAAATAGCATTACACCCAAAAAAGTAGGTAATAGACTAAATTCTCCTCTTATGTGTAGCCTGTGTCTAGGAGTGTGATTGGTGATTATAAAGTGTTCTTATGATGATCAATTTACTCAATTCCTTTTGTTCTTCCGCGTCCACTGCGCGGGTTTCCTCCAAACCCTCGCCAGGCATGTCTTTCAGTTCAAACTCCTAACGCAGAAAAAATATATTATAATTCAAATCAAACGTTACATATGTTACATTAAGTATTATATTTACATGGCAACAGCGTCTAATTACCTGGGGCTCTTGAATAATGTTATCATTCATACAGCTATACATATAAATAAAATTGGAGTGTCCGTTTGTAATAGTGAAATAACCGCTTTTTACTACATGCATCATCTGCTTCTTCCTTATCCCATTTATTTGGGGTCGGCGTAATATGTTTTTCGCTTCCATTCATCCCTGTTCGCAGTCATCGCGTTATTTACTTCCTTTCTTACCATATCATCTTTCACACAGTCCATCCATCTCTTTTTTTGCCTTCCTCTGCCCTTATAACCATCCACATTCATATGTAACAATTATCCTCGTTCCTACGCATTACATGTCCATACCATGATAGACGATTACTCTTCAACCTCTCTGACACCGGTGCCACTTTCATACTTACATGCATAGGAATATAAATATCGCACATACAGCAAAATAACATTTTTTGCAATTTTTGTCTGCCTGTCTGTTTGTTTCGGTTAATTGAGAACCGGTGAACAAGCGGTAGATAAAAAAAAATTGTTATGACTATTCAAAAGTGTTTAAATTAATGTTATTTGAATAAATGATTTTCTATTCTATTCTATACTAAATCTCTGAAATGGCTGGACCGATTTTGACAAGACTTTTATTGGCAGGTAGCTGATGTTAATAAGAAGTAACTTAGGATAATTTTATTTTAGAAAAATAAAGTTAAATTCCACGCGGAAGAAGTCGCGGGTACAGCTCCTTCCAAAAAAAAATTTAACCTGTACATTTTTTTAAATAGGGTTTCTTTTGTATATTTTATTATTGATAATTTTGTTCATTTGCGATTAAATGTCTAAATCGGGAAGTTTTTGCAACTTACCAGTAGGCAAAATGCAACTCATTGGTTGTTTAAAATTTGCTTCAATTGTAATGCGAGGCCCCTACAAGAGCGAGGCCCCTACAAGAGCGAGGCCCCTACAAGAGCGAGGCCCCTACAAGAGCGAGGCCCCTACAAGAGCGAGGCCCCTACAAGAGCGAGGCCCCTACAAGAGCGAGGCCCCTACAAGAGCGAGGCCCCTACAAGAGCGAGGCCCCTACAAGAGCGAGGCCCCGGGCGATGGCCTTATTGCCACCCCCTAAAGCCGCTACTGATAATAATTCTATAATACACTTCCTAACAGAGTTATTAGCAATAACAGACTGTAAACATTTGGTATCAATTTACCCTAATTCTCCTGTCCAGCTCTTCTATAGTGAGATCCGTTTCTGCAACATAGTAATTCGCCTTCGTTCCGAAAATCTTGCCGAAGAATCTACCACACCATAAAGTAATATATTTCTTTTATACCACATAGGTGGCAGACAAGCATAGGGCCCATCTGATAGTAAACGGTTACCGTAGCCTATGGATGCCTGAAACACTCAGACAGGGGTGTCACGTGCGCTTAGATTGTGGAATGAACTACCTGCCGAGGTATTCTCGAGACTCATGACTACAGCGTGGGGTTTCTCAAGAAGGGTATATTAAGGTTTCTTAAGGGTCGGCAACTACTAATCTCTCGAGAAAACGTCGGCAGGTAGTTCATTCCACAATCTAAGTGTACGCGGGAGGAAGCTCCTCTGAAACTGTTTCACCACTTAGGTTTTAGCGTGTGGGGATGAATTCCTTGTCGATGGCGAGCGGTGCGATGGTAAAAGGTAAATTAAAACAATAACCAGCTTTCATAGCATAGTATAAAGCAGTTTAGAAAGCAAATATTGACGGCCTTGGAGATCTAGCGGTTTAGCACGCTTAGATAATACTAAGATAATATTTTTTTAGCAGTACTTAGATAATTTATTTTTTTAGTTTTAGTTAGGTACATTACAGGTCAGAGCCAGGGTAAGGCAAGCTAGCAAGCTATTGTGGCCATGGTTGTGCTATACCTAAGCTCAAAAAAGGAAGGGATGGCATGCGTCATACACATGAACGGGTGCTGCTTGTGGGGACTGGTCTGTTCAGGTTGTGGATAATAAATTATGTTATTTTGGCAAAAATTGCAATAGCATATGCTAGTCGTGATTACATTTTAAGAATGAACTTATATTTTTGTAATGTACCAGCTTATGATAGCGTAGCGGCTTTTGTAGTGATTGCCGCATGTATCCTTATGTAAAGTGAGAATACTGTAAGTACCATATAATAAATTTAAATAAGTAGCTATGACGAGGTCGAGTGGAATGAGTAGTCATGCTCACTAAAATGTCCAGACATGTGGCGGCGTGGTGGTCATTGGGCTCCCTAAAACATGGTCGAGCGCAGTAATGGCTGGCTCATCCGTCATACTAGTGAATGAGTGCTGCTTGTAGGGACTGGTCTGCTCTTATCACTACGACTGATTTAATCTTATTGTGTTTTTATATTTGAGCCTAAATGAATTAGTGCTGGTTGGTAGTTTGTATTCACAAGTTTCGACTTGTAAAATGTGAACTTACAAGGATTGTTTACAAGAGCAACACACAAGTTTCTTGCTTATTCTTCTTGTGATGAGACAGCTATCCGAATAAACGGTAGATTTTAAAAAAAATTGTTGAATATTCAAAATTGCTTAAATTAAGTTTATTTGAATAAATGATTTTTTATTCTATTCTATTCTTATTTGAAAAGAATAAGAGCTGAGTTTCTTGTCAAGTTCTCTTAGCTTGACAGCACTCCGAACTGACGGTAGATTTGACTGATTTGAAAAGAAGAAGTGCTGTATTTCCTGTCAGTTCTTAGCTCGTCTGCTCGATCCGCACTTATGGTATATTTGACACATCATAAGAGTTTCTAACAACGAACTCCTAAGGTCTACGACACGCATAATGATATTTCACTTGATTTGAGAACAGGAATCTTACACTCTATTATTTTATTTATTTAGACATACCATAGCAGTCAACGAATTCCTTTCAATACTTCTTTTTTATACACGCCCCCAAAAATACAATGAAAAAAGGGGAAAAGGGGATTTTAAGAAATGTGGACTGATGATCTTATTGCTAACAATGTACCATGTCAGGCTGACAACCGCGGTTCTCCCTGGAAACCATCGTGATAACTTCCTGGTGAATTTTCACGATGAGCTACCTGACCTGACCTCATGGTCATCTTATCATCCTCCACTGGCCCGCCAGCGTAAACCGTTAGCGCAGATAGGTGAATCATTCCATTATCATCAATAAAAAAATACAATGACTAGGGGCGCCATTTGGTTAACCCGCTCCTGAGTAGTAGAGGTAAGAAGGTATAGAACGGACATGGTCTCACCTGACTGTAGCAACAGGTTCTTTGATAGCCAGCATATTGAGAGCGATGTATACAGCAAAACACTCACTTTCTGGCAATCCATAACCACCCTAAGTGGGGGGTAGATGAGATTTTATTTATTATTTATTGTACACACACACATAATAAATGAAATTATACAGAATAAATGTAATGTACGAGGGCGAGCTTATCTCTAAAAAGAAATTTCTTCCAGCAAACCTTGACGACCTCGGTGGTATAGCGGTCTAGCACACCGCTTTACGTTCGATGGTCGCGGGTTCGATTCCTCGCACGGCACAAACATTTGTATTCATGAGTATGATTGTTTGTATCGGTCTGGGTGTTTTCCATGTATAATATGTATGTATTTACGAAATAAAAAATATCTATGTACTTGTATCAGTTATCTAGTACCCATAACACAAGCTTTAGGTAGCTTAACGTGGGTCTAGATGGCGCTGTGTGAATTGTCCTGAGATAAAAAAAAAACTTAGAAAATGTTATAGGATCGTGTATTAAATAGAATAGTCATACATACGTGTACGAAAAGAGGAGATATTAAAATATTATTCTAATGATATTAACTATAAGTATCAATAGACATACATAAACATATAAATATGTAGACATACATAAATGGTACATAAATAAATTATAAGACATAAGTTAAAATGTAATTATAATATATACATAAATATATAAATATAAAAATACGTCAACATTGTGAAAGATAATACGTTTTTAATCGGCATTTGAATATTTCAATACTAGAACTGGCACGTATTTCGTGAGGTAAAGAGTTCCACAATCGAGTAGCCGTCACAACAAAAGAGATTGTTAGTAATGTGGACTAATGATCCCAGCAATGTACCATGTCCGATCGACCTCCACGCGGTTCCCCCTGGAAAACATCGTGGTACATTCCCGGCGAATTTGTCACGTTGGGCTAACTGATCTGACTATGTTCATCCTATCATCCTCCACTGGTGGCCCGCCAGCGTAAACCGTTAGCGCATGCGGGTGCACCATTCCATTATCATCCTTTAAATAAATCAAAAACCATCCCATTATTTGTAGTAGCACAGCTCTCTATAACATAATATTATTCATAGTAGTCTTTCACACAATAAATCTTATTAATATAATATTATAAACGCGAAAGTTTATGAGTATGGATGGATCTATCTATGTTTGTTACTCAAAAACTACTGAACGGATTTTGATGAAACTTTACAGTAATATACCTTAGACATCAGAATGATACATAAGCTATAAATGTCATGCGGGTGAAATCGCGTGCACAGCTACTACATTAATAATAATAAATAAGTGGTCTACCGGTTTAGCACAGCACTTTATTTCCGATGGTCGCGGATTCGATTCCTCGCCCGATACAAACATTTATGTTCATGAGTGTGAGTTTTTGTATCGGTCTGGGTGTTAACGCAAGCTCTGTTTAGCTTAGGACTAAATATTTCAATTTGTTTGCCATTCAAACGAAAAAAAAATGTTAAGTCATGGACATTTTTTTTACCTGCCGGAAATAATAATTGTGGTCAATTAAGTCAGCCACCCTGGGTTTAACTGAGTCTTCTTCTAGATCCAACTCCTGCTCGTCTTCGCCAAGATTATCCATTTTCTCCCATTTGCTAGACACCAGCTGTTCAAGAGAAAATGCATTTGAAAGATGTTGTTTAAAATTGTTCACACAACATAACCGTCTTGACATGTCTAGAACTGCAGTAGGTTCTATACTACAATATAGGGCGAATCCACTTAAGGGCTTTTTGGGCTGTAGCCCAGGGCCCAGAGGATACAAAGAGCTCAGTCCTAACTGAAACGAGATCTAGAATGTTAAAAAAGCTTTCATGAGGTTGGCAACCCTGAGATCGATCAACCTGTTTGATCGATCTCAGGGTTGCCAATGATCAATTGTTTTTGGTTTTTGGTAAATGTATTTTTTTAGTTGAGTAATAAGTACTGTCTGTATGTCTGTTTGTTGCAGCTAATCTCTGAAATGGCTGGACCGATTTTGACAAGACTTTTTTGTCAGGTAACTTCTGTAATATGGAGTAATTTAGGCTATTTTATTTTAGAAAAATAAAGTTCAATTCAACGCTGACGAAGTCGCGGGTACAGCTAGTTTTAAACATGTAACACTAACAATAGATGGCACAAAGAATGTACACGCGAAATAGCGGAATTACTAAATTAGTATTTAAAGAACAACAATTATGTTACATTACCCTAAACATTTCATCCACTCTCCGGACCATCGTGAGCTGCGGTGGAGACAAATAGATGTCATTGAGCAGATCGAAATTAGGTCGGAACTTTTCTTGCTTCACCTCCCATGAATACTGCTCGAAGTTGTCCACCACGTCAGGTGGTTTATGGCTCAATATCTTGTGTACAACATCCACGAGGTGATCGTACCTGCATAAGTTTCTAATTGAAGTATACTCGAATTTGTTGCAGTGCCGGATTACGCCAGCGAGGCGACAATTGTGCCAAATCTTTTAAGAAACCAGCATTTGAAGTTTGAAAAGCAAAGTATGAATTTAAAAAAAACTTTAAAAAAATATACGATTAAAAAATTTCCAGACAGTTATGAGTGCGCGGGCCCACATAAACTAAAAGAACAAATTATGAAGTTTTTGTCGTATGTCAGTTATTTTTTATAAATAAAATGCATGAGCATGTCCATTTGAAATTCATATCATGTCATATATTCATAAATAAGATAGTGGGTAGGTAAAGCTTCTGAACTTAAACAACTTAGGATGCGGACTGTAGTCAATAGTTGGGTTTCCTCTGCTATAAAAATATAGTGATTATTATCGTGGAAGTAGATTTATTAAACTCACAAGGAATCCCCCGTGGCTGCACTCTGCTGTTTCAAAAAGTTCTTAGCTACGACCAATTCGTTATTTAAGTCTGGCATAACATTCTCTGTGGCGGCTATTATATCCGGTTCTAATAAAAATGTTTGATCCATTTTTATCAATTATTATTTTACATATCCCTATATAATGAATATTAATAAATGTGAACGCTTTATACTGATTCGTTGAATCTAAGGAATTTACAAAATCTAAGGAAACTATAGAGACATGACAAATGATAAAAATGACAAGATAAACAGAAAAAAATAGTTTATGTCCACCTAATAGTTTTTTAGAAATTATTTTATTATTTTTTTTTTTACATCACTAATTCAAATCACGATAATCAAAATTTTCAGATTTGTTTAAAAAATGGAACGCGCAAAATAATGTCAATGTTATTGTGTTGCAGCCCAACTCAACTACTGTCACATTGTTCTGTGATTTTTTAATTTTTCTTGTTTTGTTTTTAGGTTATATTAAAGTTTTCTTAATTGATATTACGATCTATAAAATTAAATTAATCACCTATTTATATATAGTGTAAGAAAACAACAGTTTAAATAATTATGTTTAAAGAAATATTTAGAAACACATTCGCTTAGCGCTATAACCTCAAATAGCAAATCAAAACAAACACTAAAAATGGCACAGCGATTTGACCCAGCGCTTTACAATTTCCGTAAAAAAATGCCGTACGTAAGCAAGGATCTTTTACGATGGTTCCCGGGCCACATGAATAAGGGTTTAAAACAAATGCAACGTAAATTGAACAGTGTTGACTGCGTGATCGAAGTCCACGACGCAAGGATACCCTTCACGGGTCGAAATCCGATATTTACAAATACTTTAACAGGCGCGAAGCCGCATATATTGGTGTTAAACAAGAAGGACTTGACAATAAAGTCGTTAATACCAAAAATAAGGGATCAGTTGAAAGCTGAACAGAATATTAATAATGTAGTGTTTACAAATAGTAAAGACCAGCTGTGTCGAGGTCTAAAGACGCTCAGGCCGCTGCTGGTGGATCTGATAAAGAGTTCAAACAGGTATTATTACAAAATCTTTACTTATTATTCACTATGAACATGGTTTACTGTAAGAAAATCCCTTTGTTAATACATAAAATGTGCATAAAAATCAGTTCAGTATTTTTGGACACTATCACAAAAAGGTAGACCACAGGACGACATTATTTATACATATTCTTATTATATATAACTGTTACCCACAAGTTTTATTTTTAATACAAAATGTTTAAAATCAAAGTACTTAATGTACTCCGCTATCTGCAAATAAAAGACCTGTCAAAATCGGTCCAATTATTTCAGAGATTAGCAAGAACAAACATACTGACAAACAAAAACTATTAATATATTTTTTTTAAGTATATATATTACATATAATATATACTTTCATAGGCATGTTAATATTATATTTAAAATAGATACTCCTATTTTATTTATGTGTATATACATATACATGTTATCCTACAACAGTTATATCTCTTTTCCAGATACAATAGAAGTGAAGAGCTAGATTACAATGTGATGATCATTGGAGTGCCCAATGTTGGAAAGTCATCCTTGATAAACATGCTCAGGTCCAAGAATATGAGTGTGAAGCATACCCTGCCAGTCGGTGCAGTAGCTGGTGTCACCAGGAGTCTGATGACGAAGATGAGGATCAACAATAATCCCACAATTTTTATGCTAGACACTCCCGGTAGGTATAAAATGTTTTTTTTATGGATGTTAATGGAATGGTGCGCCCACCTGCGCTAATGGTTTACGTTAACTGGCACCTGTGGAGAATGATAAGATAAGCATGAGGTCAGGTCAGTTAGACCATTGGGACAAATTGAACAATAATTTATTGCGGTGGTTTCAGGAGGAACCCTGTGGAAGTCAACCTTACATGGTACATTGCTAGCAATAAGATAATCAGTTCACATCACTAATAATCCCCTTTCCCCACTTATTTGTTCAACTATTTCTTTGCACCCATTGAGGATGTACCTTATCTAATGCCCATCACAATGAGTATAGAAAGGGAAGGGGGACTAATAACCCCATTGCAAGCAATGTACCATGTCACATTGATATTCATGTTGTTTTCTCTGGGGACCATCATGATAAATTCATGGTACATTTACCCTGAAGGGCTAACTGACCTGACCTTATGTTGTAAGGCAGTTTTTAGCAATAGATAGAGTGACGCAAGAGAATTATTTATATGTATAATACCTGTACACCCATTTGAAGCCGGCGCGAGTAGCTAGAAATATATAAGTATATCATAAAAGTCATGTTGTTATTATTATTATAAATACTAATTTCATAGTAATAGAAGCAACCATTGCAGAAACAAAATTATATAGACCTTTTCAGGTATCCTGGAGCCTTCAGTAACGGATGTGGAAATGGGGCTCAAGTTGGCGCTGTGCGCATCTCTGCAGGACCACCTTGTGGGTGAGGAGATCATAGCTGACTACATGCTGTACTGGCTGAACAAACACAGCAAGTTCAAGTATGTAGACTTTATGGCACTGGAGGAACCATGTGATGACATTAATAAGGTAATGTATTTGAAATAGAATAAATAAATAATCTTTATTCAAATAAATAATATAAGCACCTTTGAATAGTCATATTTTTTTTATTCTACCACTCAATTAGTACGCTGACTCATAACAAAAAGAACTAACAAAAACTTCCATCCTCTTCTAAATAAATATTGTACTGAATTACAGTTTTAAGAATTTTGTTCATTTTATTCTTTATTCTGGTCCTTTTGTTTATACTAACTTTTAACAATTCACGCAGCGCCATTTAGTCCCATGTTAGGCAGATGTTGTCTTATGGGTATTAGACATTTTTTTTTAATACACATGTACTGTTTGACTTCATAATTATCGGCTCTCAAGCCATAACTGTTCTCACTCGCCGTTCACAGCCTAATGCTCATATGACGCCAGCAGTGTCCGATAGAGACGCCATAATACTTCCTTCTCTTTCACACATAAATATTACTAGCTGTGTCCACGGTTTCACCCGCGTGATAGCCTACGTTTTATTCTGATGTATAAGTTATATGTATATACTGTAAAGTTTCATCAAAATCCGTTTCGTAGTTTTAGCGTGAAAGAGTAACAAACATCCATCCATACTCACAAACTTTCGTGTTTATAATATTACTAATATATACATATAACATCCAGAGCAAAATATCAATAGGAATAATCATTTATTGATGATACGTTTTAGGGGCCGTTCAAGTATTAAAGCACTATAGGGGGGCGGGGGGTCTTTTCTTTGCTTATTTTGGATGACATGGGGGTGGGGGAGTCTGTATGATGATTACGTCATCGGTCGTAATTTACTTTTTTACGCGAATGGCAACCCTCACATGTCTTTGCTAAAAAAACAATACATTAATTGAGAGATGTTTACGTAAGCATTTAAGAGCTTTGCTTACTTTTGCTGACAACGGGGGATGAGGGGTAAATAATTGTGATAAATCTGCTTACGTAATACTTGAACAGCCCCTTAGTCGTTTATGAAGGTCCACTTTTTATTATTCATATTTTTTGTGCCTCTGTCCGTAAACATCTGCTTCTTCCTATCCCATTTATTTGTGGTCGGCATAATATGTTTTTCTCTTCCATTCATCCCTGTACGCAGTCATCTCATTATTTACTCCTGTTTACGCACTCAACGCACCGCTCCGCGGGCTGCGGGGGCGGTGCTGCGCATCGGCAACTGCGGCCGGTGGCGGACACCGGCACTTCTTGTCATCGACACCGGCTTACAAATAATCCCTCCATTCTAAATTTTATCTGAATCAGTCCGTTGTTCATAACAGTTTTTATATTAAACCTATTAATACAGTCCACTAGTTTCACTGGCTATCCAGGACGTAACAACTCCCTTTCATACCATATCATCTTTCACACAGTCCATCCATATTTTTTTCGGCCTTTCTCTGTCCATAAACAATAGTATATTTATTCACAGGTATTACTCGCGGGGGCTATCAAGTTTAATCGCTTGAGGAAAGTTCGAGACTTCGACGGCAGGGTGCGCGACGTACCAGACCTACTAGAGGTCGCTAGAACCTTTATTAAAGCCTTCAGGACTGGAGAGCTCGGCAATATACTGTTAGACATAGATTTACTATTCAATAAAGATAAACTAGAAAACAATAATCTGGAATAAAAACAAAGCATGTCCAGGTGAGGGATGGTTGTACAAGGGTAGTTTTCCGTCTGTCACAATAGATTTGTCTAAACTAATATATACTAACTAACTTTTGCCCGCGGCTTCGCTCGCGTTAATTTATCCCCTTAGAGGTGGAATTTATCAAAATCCTTTCTTAGGGGATACGTCATAGTAGCTTTATGCATGCTAAGTGTCAGCCCGATCGGTTTAAAATTGACAAAGTTTCATACAAACTTTCATCCCCTATTTTGTCCCTTTGGGGGTAGAATCAATCAAAATCCTTTATTAGCGGATGCCTACGTCATAACATCTACCTGCATGCCAAATTCCAGCCCGATCCGTCCAGTGGTTTGGGCTGTACGGTGATAGATCACTACGTCAGTCACCTTTGAGTTATATGTATATATTTAGAGATATAAATAAAGATTTGGTTTTTGGTAAGTTTGTAATGTATAAACTCAACAAATGTTTGACCAATTTTGATATATTTTTTCACTTACAGATAGCTACATCATCCTCTTATAATATGGGCTATATTACACACGCATATTCCTGCGAGATACACATAAAAATATTATAAAGTAAAACAAATATAAATTTAAAGATTTATATGTATATATATTTTAATACGGGTGATTTTTACACCCTAAGTTATTTATTATTAAAATATTACTAGGGAACTCTTATTTATTATAATATCAAAAATAGCCTGTTACATAGGGATAATGTAGCAGTTCTTACGGAATTACGGAACAGTTCTTGAAGGAATTTTTGAAATCGATTCAGTAGTTTGTTTTTTACAAATATATGTAAATCTACTATTACTACTGTGAAGGATGGAGATCAAGATGTCGAGCAAAAAGTAAAACGGCACCGTTGTAGTTGTAGTTATATGACACGTCAATTTTAATATTTTTTGTATATTAAAAATGACGTATGTCATATAAAAACAATATAATATTATAAAAAATATAGACAATAAAAAAGGTATATAAAATAGTTTACAACAACTACTATTTTTATAGTATTTTACCTTAAATACTATATGGAATATAGAAAATTAACACATATTTAAAATGGTTCCTTCTTAAGAAAGCTACGTATCTGCGAGTAATATGGACTGGGCTTTATTATATGTTTTTTTTAATAAATAATATCCAAAAATGTGGATAGGGCGTAGTGGTATGATTTGTCAACTATTAAAGAATTGCACTGCTTTTTCCTGTATAAAAGTCCTATATTGCGGACTTTATATACCCCAAAGACAATCCCTCATCTATGCTTAATAGCTTAGTATATATTATGTAAATAATGTAAATTATATTAAATGGATAAGAATAAAACAATAAATATAGAACAGCTTTTTTATTGACCACTGGCCAATTATGTAGACATATAATTAAGAGTATGCAGTGGGAAATGGTCGTTGTGGATACAAAAGAAATCTTATATATAAAATTCTCGTGTCACAGTTTTCGTTCCCATACTCCTCCGAAACAGCTTGACCGATTCTCATGAAATTTTGTGAGCGTATTGAGTAGGTCTGAGAATCGGACAACATCTATTTTTCATTTCCCTAAATGTTAGGGGTAGTCCACCCCTATTTTTTTTTTATTTTAAGGCAAAATAACGTTTGCCGGGACAGCTAGTCTTTTATAATCCTTCTGTAAAGCCCCACGATTCCTAATTTATATCTTCACAACAGTAATTCTAGATATACCCTATCTAGGATAATAATAATATTTCAGGACAACACTTCAGGGCCCGCAGAGCACACAATCAGGGCTTCTGTTATGGGTACTAGTTAGAACTGATATAAATACATCAGGAATCATACCCGCGACCCTTGTAAAGCGATTTGCTAAACCGCTAAACCACATGTCGTCATAACAGTAAGGATCACAGAACCGAGTAGTTCTCTTCTCCGTTTTGTGGGGATAGTAGAAATGATGACGTTCATAAGCAACAGAATCGTAATCGTTCAAAGTAATAGTGTTAAATATTTATTTATTCGTAAATAAATAAATATTTTAAACTATTACTTTGAATGTGGCCTCGTTGCTTATTGCAAGGTAATAATATATTATTTGTCAAAATTGGGAGAGCTCTTTCAAAATTATGTCAATCAAAATACAAATCAATTACAATAACAATAATAAAAATTGAAAGTTATGTAACAATAATTTAGAACATTTTAATAGACGCAGTTGTACAGAAATAATCCAAAACATACTTACAATAACATGTTCAGTATTGTGTGAAATGCAGTGAGACTCAATGAATCGGTAGAGTACCTACTTCATCAAACGATGAATCCACTAAATTTATTGGAAACGTTTCTCTCGTCTCTACAAGAGTACTGGTGGCTATATGATATAGCGACAGACTGTTATCCAATCGCCATGATGTCTAAAATCCATACAGTTTGAAGCACCTACCTAATGGTTACCATAAAAATCAATAAACCGAAGATTTCTTCCATCCAGAATGTCACAAAACCTCTCATATCATCAGGTACCAATAAAGTATATTCCCAATTGCCAGAAAGCTATTCCACCACAATTGTTAGTAATACAGCTACATATCCTACGTCAGCTATCGCTAATGGGGGTTATATGGAAGAAACCGTGGCTTTATCGAATGATGACACACTAAGTATGATAAGCTCTCCGTGGAGTACTGAGTCATGGACCTCTCAATCCCCTGTACTTGAAGGCACAGACTTCAGTTCGTTCCCGTCTGACATGGATACTGTATTGACATCTGTAACCTTACATCCGCGTTCATCTACATCATACGGCGTCTCAAGTTCATCAATCAGGTCAAAAACTAGTACTTTCACTATAAATGTAGACTCTAGTATTAGTCAATCGTTGCACCCTCCAACAGTCGTAACCAGCAAGACTTACTCCGATACCTTGAGTTCATGGACTCTAGAAACCTTTACTAGTACCGGTGTGATTTCCGACTCGAGAGCTGTTAAGGCCAAGTGTTCATGGAGTCCAAGCAATGTATACAGTGGTACCGACATCTATCCGAGTTCGCTTGACACGTTGGAGTCCCGGAAAGTCAGCAGAGAGACCCTGGCCACGACAGACGCGTTTGGTAGCGTCAGAAGAAAGATAGACCCACTCATTCCTATGAATTATGTATTAAGACCTAATAAGCAAGAATACAATCCAGTTTTAGAGTGGGAGCTGATAAAACGTAAATGTTCCCAATTATTTAAGTTATAAATAAAAAAAAATGTATAACAATTAAATATTATATTTCAACAAAATATAATTTCTTAATTATCACTAACTGCTATTAATAATTCATTATTCTAAATACAATATCCAATTATGTTCAAATAGTGTCACAAATGAAGTATTAAAACCATTTTTATTTTACTAACAACCTCAGAGCTCTTACGTTAACTGTGGTACAAGTTACAACACGGTAATAATCTAAAAGTTAACCTTTAATATGTACAATGTAGTTTGAAAAGAGAGTTTCTTGCCAGTTCTTATCGGCTTGAATTATATTTCTGACTCTGGCATCATCGCACAACTCGCTTTACGCATTTCAAGCCGCTAGCGGCGTCTAGCGGTCGTATATAACAGTACCAAGGATAAAATGTGGTTAATTAACCGTTAATAACGAAAAATGCATTTTTAACCGCTTGTCTGTAATAGACATGGATATAAATATTAAAAAATATAATTGGAAAAATGAAAATAATACGTTTTAAATACTGTTTTCTCTAGCTAACTTGCACTATTATTTGAGTGTAGGCGCGATATCTTATATTTATTGTTTGGGTACATTAGCTATTCCGATGACAGACTTGTAATATTTCGGTTCACTGAGTGCGTCGACAAAGAATTGACCCAGATCCCATTTAGATACCACCCTCGCCGGGGACTGCTTGGGGTTGACCTCGATTATCAGCTCACGGCTGGGTTCATCTGCAAAACGTAAAAGATTATTTCAGGGTTCATCTAAAAACGCGAAAGGTAATATTAAATTTAATGCAATAAAGATTATTTCTAAGTCTCACATCCTTACTAATATAAATATGAAAGTAGCTCTGTAGCTCTGTCTGTATGTCCAAAAACTACAGAACCCATTTAAAGGAAATTTGGTACATGGATAATATAAACCCTAAAAGAATATTTACTACTTTTTAATGTGTGAAACAGGTTGGAAGGAATTAAACAACAATCTTTCATCTGTTGTTTTGGCTGTTGATATTTTTTTTTCTGTTCCTTGTATATCCGCAATCAGAAAGTGTACTATTATCGGATTGGTTGGTGTTGATTAAATATAAATAAATATGACATTCAAACTATTCGTTTTTTTTTTAATTTTACTTTCATTAAAATAGAGGAGGAAAATTTGTATGGAAGTTCATCATTTTTTAAGCTAGAAGGAAGAAACTTTTTATTTTTGGCTTAGATTAATTATTATTTTATGTTATCAATGGTCATTAGCTAATATTTCACATGTTAATTAATTCTAAATTAGTAGATTTCAAATATATATATATGTATATTACCAGCAATGTGTGGAGGAAGCACTGCTATCCAATCCACTGTACTTGCTTTTAACAATCCCAACATCCTCTTGTGTTCTTCATTTAAATCCACAAACCGCTTTGGTACCTGCTCTGGCGCATAAAACAGGAATGCTGATAAACAAACCGATACAAGTTTCACATTCTTAGCCACCATTGCTTCTAGAATGTGCTTCATGCCAACTGACATGTCGGTGGTTGCTTCTAGACTATTCCTCGTGCCGAGGATAACAACCACACCATCGACGCCGTCAACTGCATCCTCCACGGATTTTGGGTCGGTCACCACATTACCCTGTATGATCTCCACTTTATCTCTCAGATGGTCTGGTAACCTGGCGGGGTCTCGAACCAGCACTCGGACTGTGAGACCTGATTACATACAATAATCAGTTTAATATGCATGCACTGTGTGATAAGTCATTATCCAATAATTATATAAATAAACTTATCTAAATAAGTTTATTTATATCTTCAACAAGCCTTATCAATTTAAACTAATTTATTATTCCATCATTAATAAGGCAAATAAAAGATATTTAAATTCTATGCCAGATCTGCTCTGCTGCTTGCAACACAAGCTCAGCTTACACTGGGACTAGATGTTGCTCTGTTAATTGTTCAGGGTTATTTTGTAATTATTTATTTACTCTATCTTTGCACATGAAAATAATATGAGCAGCACGTTTTTACTAATGAGACAAAGTATTATAAAACCTTACCTTACCTTTTTTGACTGCTGCATCCAGAGCACACAGGCCGGTCATGCCGGTGGACCCAAAAATAACGATTTTCTTCATTTCTAAATATAAAAAAAAAAAATTTGATGTTATTTTTGATAGAACATAAACTAATAAAGACAATATTCGAGTTCATACATTTGTAGTACCATTACATGTATAAATGTACAAGAAATAATTCTGTTATTCGTATCAAACCCTTGAGATAATCACATAGATATGTATGATACCAGATGAACACAATTACGTTAATCTAATAAATAATCTCACTAATGATATAGAATTCAAAGTAAACAAACAGATAACTTAAGTGACTATCAAAATTCAAGTGAAAAATAAATGGACATTATTTTTATAATAATTGTAATTTACATATTTTAATCATGTTTACACTTACCGTATTGGTCTACAGTATTATGGAAACAAAACAATTTAAAAATTTGATAATATTATAAAATTTCCATGGAAAAATAAAAATTAAAGTATCTGTCAGTTTTCTTTTTTTTTTCGATTATATCTGTCAGTATGTTTCACATGTTATTTAATTTGTCATTTCTGATTGACAATTGAACTGATCCTGTCAAGAAAATTTCAATCGTAACAAAACGCAACTTCTTTATTTTAAGTCTTTTTGTGAAATTTGATTATTCCATTTATTTTAAAAATAAGACAATTTAATAATAAGTAATTTTAATCAAAATATATATGATATTTTTAAAAAATTGGTTTAGTTGTCTTTATACTTAATTTCAATTAATACTCAATGTTTTCAATTTGATATAACAAAACGAAATCCTAACCTCACAAAACTCTCGTGTCTTGTTTTTTAGAATTGTTTTGAAATAATATAATATTGATGAATTAACTTTTTGAAAAGAAATAATATGGGTGACACCGAAGAATACTTTCCACGAGGGGGTAAAAAGCCAACAGTTACTTATTTTAAGCCAAGCAGCAACGTAAGTATTAGAATTTACAATAAATGTTTCTGTCTGATTTAAACGTGTAACTATTTGTATTTTATAGTTTTTAGGAGCAGCTGAGAAAGGTGAAAGAAAGAAAAAGAAACCAAAAAAGAATAGAGATCCTGACGATGGGTACTTATCAGATGAAACTAAAAAGGATTTCGACCATTCATACAAAAATTGTTCATCTCGGCTCACTTACAAGGTAATGTAGAATTATTCCTTCTTACTTGTTGTTTTTTTGATGTATTCATTCACCTGGCATGGTCTCGCCTCATAAGAGAATAATTAGCACAGTAGCCAGATAGCTTGATGTAGTTTTCATTTCACACAAAATTTATTTATAGTATTAAAATCTTAGCACACCATACAAATATATCAATAATGTCTAACATAGTGTACCATCTAACATATATATTGGAAATCACAAAATTTATTTGTATTTCTGTTTGTTACCATTTACCAAAGGAATCTTATTTTTTTATTAAGGGGATTGGGCTGTTACTCTATGCCTTCGACTTGTAGCATTGCAACCTACAGAGATCTATTGAGCTCACCCTTTTCTTAGTTTGCTGCCTAAAAATATCCTTCAATTCCCTAATAGGGCTACCATTAGGGAATTGAAGGATATTCTTAGAAGCAATGGTTTTTATCCTCAAGAGTGTGCTTTCTGAAGAAGATATTTTATTTATGCATGAGTGACCTCACACAGGATCTGTAGTGGCATTTCCTCTTCTATTTGGTATAATCTTAACAAAAATTCATATTTAATTTAAACATGGTTTATATCATGAACTTATATAGGTTATTAATTTTATAAATGTATGTTAAGAGATGGCAGTACATTTTTTTTTTCTCTCTATTACCTCAAAAATGCAGATAAATTCACCAACAATAGCTGGTTATGGTATAATGCAGGAAATCATTCATCTTGATACATTTTGACATAAAAGTGTAAAGTTACAATAATTATTTAAAAGAGCAACACTTAAGTTTCTTGCTCATTCTTATAATGAGACAGCTTTCGGAATGAGTGATAGATTACAAGAAGGATAATTGTGACTATACAAACATGCTTAGATTAAGTTTATTTGAATAAAGGATTTACTATTCTATTCTATTCTTCATTATTAGAAATTATATTATCTCACTAGATTATTTCTCATTTTTGACTTTGAATTTTTTGCACCTATTCATCATCATCAACATCATCACAGCCCGGAAGACGTCCACTGCTGGACATAGGCCTCCCCCAAAGATCTCGCACCTATTATTACCCACTTATTACCACCTATGTCACAGTTTTATGTTGTCTGAAAGAGATCTCTTCTAGGGATAAGTCCACCTTTGCTCACATTGTCTCTTAAGTTATTTTACTACTGTATTCTTCTATCTCTTCTTTAGAATATAATTTGTCCACTGCTGGAAGTATATGTTCCACCTTCTTCAGTCTTTGGTGCATCTGGTCCAGGTCTTCCCTGCCATCTTCTTCATATTGTCCCACTACCATATTTTCTGTACAATAAAGAATATAATAATTCTCTCTTTCTTTCTACTGTTTCACTATGATTATTCTCTTTCAGACTATTAAACAGGGTGTGCTCATATTGGGCAGAGTGTCACAAGTGCATGAGACCAAAGTGACAGTGGCCCTGCCGGGTAAAATGACAGGCACCGTGATGGCATGCCACATCAGTGAACCTTACAATAAGCTGCTTGAAGCATATGTCAATGACCAGGTAACTAGTCCCTAGTGTTATAATAATAATATTAAAATACTAGCTTTATTTTTCTAAAATAAAAGATTTTTTCTTAATAAAAGTAGCCTGACTATCGGCGTGGAATAGATGATCAGTGATGAATTTCCATACAAACTTTCATCCCCTATTTTATTTTACCCCCTATAGGTAACAGTTTTACAAACTTTGAATGTCATATTTATTTATATTTAATCAACAGCCTAATTAATAAGTATGTTTATTATGTGTTTCTAGCTTTATATTAATGATACTTTCATATAACTGTTCATCTGACTTTCATATCACTGTTGTAAGGGGCCAACAACCCCTTTTTCGCATTAAAGAATGAAATCTTGTATGGATGAAAGTTTGTATGGAAACCTATGCCCTTTCTCAGGGCCTAGATTATCTGTGTACTAAATTTTATTTAAATGAAATTAAAAAAATTTGCTGTGAAAGTGCGACAGACAGACAAAGTTACTTTCGCATTTAAAATATTAGTAAGGATATTAATTTATTCTTTGTAATTTGTGTATCTGTAATATATATAGTATTGGCATATAGTTTGTATAAGAGGACGGACATATGCTATTTGTAATTTAAAACAGCATAGGAAGTCATATGTAATAGTTAGCACTCCACAATTAAATGTTACAGACAGACAAAGTGAAAGAACTGTCAGAAATGTTCCGGCCCGGCCAGTATGTGATGCTGAAAGTGTTGGAGGTGGAGAACATGAAGCTGATGCTGTCCATGATGCCACAGCATATCAACAGTGGACGCTCACACTCAGACCTCAGCAAAGGTACATAGTGCCAACTAGTCTCATGCTAAGCAAAGTTTATGGGTACTAGACTGATATAAATACTTCTTATCTATTCTGAAAAACGATGAAATGTCGTATTCAAACGCAAGGTATCTAAATCAATAAAAAATATGCCATTAAAGTTTATGTAGTTACAACAGTATTAACCATTTGGAAATTCGTCAAAATTATGGCCTAAAATCAAACTGACACTGAACATCTTAGGGCTCGAAGGACCAAAAAATTTATACGGAATTACATATAGACTGTATAAAATGAAACTTTGTATAGATGTGCATTATTCCTACATAAATTATATTATTTTAACAATATTTTTAAACAAGAACTTTATAATCACGTAAAAATTCATCATCTCATGAATAACTATAAACTTATTATTATGTGCCAGTATCAAAATGAGCTATAGCTGTATCAATTTATACAGCTCTATAAATATCTGCCAAGTTATTTTATTATTTAATTAACACTTCAAGGAATAGTTAATATGCTAATCTCATAATGCTGTCAGGTGATCTGCTACAAGCGGCGGTCGTGTCCGTGGAGGACCACGGTTATTTGATGGACTTGGGCATCCCCAACACGAGGCCCTTCCTGCCCAAGAAACATGTCAACACAGAAGTGGAACTTGGTGAGTAATTCCATATTCAATTCAATTCAAAATAACTTTATTCATTTAGGTCTATTACAGACTCTCATAACATGTGAAATTTACAGTCAGTTCGGATTGATTTCCAGATGAGAACTGAATATAGTTTTTTATAGCTGAATGTGAGAATGCACATGTGTATACTAAAGGTACAGCACTAGCGTGGGCTAGGGGGTAAGATGTAATTTTTATTATAAATTAGTTCGGTGGAGAAATATTGCATGTAGTAATAATTTTAAAAAATTATAATAATTTGAAACAATTTTAACAGTGAATGTCTCACCTTAATTTTCACAAAAAGAAACAAAGCATTATGGCCACTTTTTGTTCGACGTTCATTCTCGCTGAGGTTTTCTCTAGTCTCTGGAGATGTATTATTAATATTAATACATATCATGTAACATTAATACATATATATATAAATATGTAATACAGATGTAGGCGTCTTGACGTGGTGCTGCGTGAAGTCTGTGGATGCTTCACCGGACAATAGCATAGTGAAGTTGAGCAATGAACTGTCAGCGATACAGCGCTGCGCGCCGCGGCCGCGTCCAGCGCTGCAGCTGCTGCCCGGAATGGCACTCGACTTCACCGTTCATAAGGTAACCCTATTAATTTTTAATTTACTTGATTTTAAAAGTAGTCCCACAGCTGGTAATTGGGAATTGGGAATTGGGAATTTACTAAAATTTTCAACTCATAGTAGAATATTTTTGGCAAAGTTAAAAATAAAAATATTGTTGATGGAATGCGGTAAGAATGAGATAGAAAGATTTATTAAATTAATTTAGTTTAGGTTTTTTTTTCTTTTATCATATCTGGACCACAATCAAAATAATTAATATATAAAGTTGTGGACAAAAGTTTAAATGAGGTATAGTACAATGTAGGACAATTCACACAGCACCATCTAGACCCAAGTTAAGCTAGCTAAAGCTTGCGTTATGAATACTAGATAACTGATACATAAATAATTTTCTAATTCTACTTATATTAGTAGATACCAATCTGTTCCACTTTGAATATTAGGAATAGTACCATTCTTTCAATCGATCTGTATACTGATCAAACATTCTTTATCGCAATAGATCGTGGAGCCTACCTAATGTGGAAACCACGTTAAAAAACAAATGCGCCAAGTACATTACCTCATAAGTGGTGTGGAAATGTGTGCAATAACTGCATATTATGAAGAATATGAATTTTTCAACTTTTAAAATCGCGATATCTCACGAATGGTGATTCGTACGAAAAAAAGTATTAGGACAATTTTTGTAGAGAATTGTATGATCTACAACTTTTGTCTAACCTATTTTGACGATAATATTTTCGGTTTCAGAGAAAAATGGAAAAAACCTGAATTTTTAACCTTTGACCTTGGATAAAAAAATTTGCAGAAGTAGGATCGAAATGGATTTTTGACATTACATTTGTAATGGTTTATTTAACGTCTATACCAATTGTCAGCTCTATGCGAATTTTGGCTAACTTATCATTTTTTTTGGTCTATTTTGACTGGATTAATATATAATATTTGTTTTTGGAGTACTACAGAAATAATATAAATGAAATGTATATAATGAATTTTAAAGATGCGGCTAAAATTCCATCTATTGTGACCCTAAGCTCCTAAATAAAGAAAAAGATATATATACATTCGATTTTTTTTTCGTGTATTTTATTGTATTATGTTGAACTATATATTCCGCATACAGCAAATCGTTTGCAAATTCATTAATAATCATATATTTGTTTTATAGCCGTTAGATAACGGCATCGAGGGCCACGTACTGAATGAAACCACAGCGTACATACAACGCGACCACGTCGACAAAGTTAAAGGAAAAAAACCAGCCCTCGGACAGAAGGTATGTCCATACAACATTGATAATCTATACATATAAATAAAATTGGAGTGTCTGTTTGTAATATTGAAAAAACCGTATTTTACTACATGCATATGAATATAAATACGGTTCATACGCCAAAATAACATTTATTACAATTTTTGTCTGTCTGTCTGTTTGTTCCGGCTGATCTCTGAAATGGCTGGACCTATTTCGACGGGATTTTTTTGGCAGGTAGCTGATGGAAGTGATGTAATAAACAGTAACTTAGGCTACTTTTGTTTTAGAAAAATATTTTATTTTGTAAAAATAAAGTTAAATTCCATGCGCATGAAGTCGCGAGTACAGCTAGTGTGAACTAAAATTCCTCACAACTATTAATATAGTGAACATTATTCGTTATTTCAGATCCGCGCTCGAGTACTCTACGTGGTGCCAATACGTAAAACACCCTTCCTGACAATGAAAGATATATTTGCAACCACCTACCCTGATCTCCGAGAGGAGCAGAAGCTGAAGGACGGGGAGATTGTAGAGGAAGCGCAGGTACCAGTTCTAATCATTATTACATAGTATAAAAAAAATCGCTGTCACTGTCTGTCCAAGAGATTGTAGAGGAAGCGCAGGTACCAGTTCTAATCATTACATAGTACAAAATAAAGTCGCTGTCGCTGTCTGTGCGTCCCTATGTATGCTTACATCTTTAAAACTACGCAACGGATTTTGAAGCGGTTTTTTTAATAGAGTGCTTCAAGCTAGTTTATATATTATAGTATTATAGCTAGCTAGATTATTATTTTAATAATTAAAATTATTTAAAATTATTAATTAATAATTAATTATTAAAATACTAGCTACTCGCCACGGCTTCGCACGGGTGTACATATATTGTATATATAAACCTTCCTCTTAAAGACCACATTGAAAATCTTATTTCTCACATAGAGACCGGTATTTTTTTTAGTTAATTTCGTATATTATGTTTTAAATATGTTAGATCACCCTCAAGGGTGGCCACCTCCTTTGTTATTCCCTCCAGTCTTCCTTCAGGGCCTTGATAAAGGTGCTCTTCAGGTTCGCTGACCTCCGGATGATGTGCTCCATGTCCTCTGTATTTTAGTGTACAATAATTTGAGGTAGATATTATTTAACCCCAAGATTTATTTAATTTCAAGTGCCTACGGGTGATCACCAGATCCCAACGTATAACTTTACTTTCGTTGGTGGAGTGACCCACCGGGTATGCAACGTGTTAACGTTAATAGAAAAACCTAGACGACTCATATGACGTAAAGTCCCGGGAACTGACTAGGACAAGCCGAGAAAATTAAGTATACATAGGGACGGACAGACAGCGACCGCGACTTTGTTTTATAATATGTAATGATAATTCTCTTCTAATATTTTTCATGTCTATTTAAAATGTCTAACGTATATTTCAATATAATATTGTATAGGTCATCAAAATAATGGGACGATCGGTCCACTTCAAGCTGGGGCCCGGCTGTATAGGCGCCATGAGCCTCAAGAGTATCCAGGTGGACGAGAACTTGGCAGACGAGGATATAGTCGCCAAGTCATATCCTGTGGGTACGTACATACTATATTGGAACACTTTACTACAATAATACACAACTAACAAACTATATTATTTATAAATAGGAAAAATCACGGGATAGTTCACACAGTTTATTTATTTTTATTGAGTTCCCAATGTTTCCTTTAAGTCCCGTGATTTTCCCTGACAAATTTAAAACAGTATAAAGAAAATAGTTTATTTAAAAATCGACTTTGCGTTATATACTTAAAATTATTTTCCAAAATCGACGACCTCGATGGTCTAGTGCAGTGATTCCCAAAGTGGTCTATATCGACCCCCAGGGGTCTATGACAAACTGCAAGGGGTCTACGAAAGCGGTCATCTTGTTGTTTTTTAACACTAATCTTTACTACAGTTAGAAATTTACAAAAAAATCAATACCTGGTAAGAATAGGGATCTACCCAAAACCGAAAAATATGGCACAAAAAAGTTTGGGAACCTCTGGTCTAGTGGTTTAGCACCGATTTACGTCCGAAGGTCGCGAGTTCGATTCCTCGCACCCACAATACAAACATTTGTATTCATAAGGTTGATTGTCTGCAATAGTCTGGGTGTTTTGTATGTATTTAGAAAAAAAATATCAAGTATTTATATTAGTGTACCGTGGGACTAGATGTTGCTGTGTTAATTGTCCAGGGTTATTTATTCATTTATTTAACTTCAGGTAGCTGCCATAAAGTGAGGGTGATTTCGTACAACCTGTGCGACTATTCGTACAGTGTGAGCGATCAGAGCGCGTTGCTCACTGAGAAGTACTTCAGTTTGGAGCAGCTCACCGTTGGGGACCTGGTCTCCGGGACCGTGACCTTAGTCGCAGATGACCACATACTGGTCAATGTGGGCAGGGTCAGAGGTGAGCTTTATATATATATTTATGGATGATAATGGATGTACCCGCCTACGCTAACGGTTTATGCTGGCGGGGCTCCAGTGAAGGATAATAAGATGAGTATGAGGTCAGGTCATGACTACATACTGGTCAATGTTGGCTGGTCAGTTGCTGGGGTGAGTGACTTTGTATATATTTTATGGATAATGTATGGTGCACCCACCTACGCTAACGGTTTACGCTGGCGGGGCACCAGTGGAGAATGATAAGATGATCATGAGGTCAGGTCAGTTAGCCCATCGTGGCAAATGGTAATTAACCATGTGGTTTCCAAGGGGAACCGCATATAGTAACTATCTGATATATTAAGACCTGGTTAATAATTTAAATAATGTATATTAAACACGAAAGTTTAGAAATAACTATCGCTATTAAAATATATGGGTTGATGGTAGAAGGATGGCAATTTAGAGTGGTATATTTTTTTTTGTTTATAACACTATTGCATAAACATATAAAGGACATGAACAAAATTAAAACATAAAAATTAAAAGTAGGTACAAAAGGTGGTCTTATCGCTAATGCAATCTCTTACAGACAACCTTTTGAAAGAGAATATTTACAAAAAATAGAGTAGCTACCTACTCTATTATATGTGTACCTATGTGTACCTACAAGTGCCATTACCGGAGTCTCGAAGTAGCATTAGCATTCCACAGTTACTCCGGCGGTGTTGGTCCGCTCAGTAGATGCTGGTGGTGGGATGGTGACGGGAAGGCCCATCTCTTTGTTAGGGCGACCTATTTCGCTTCTATTCTTACTAATGGGTTAAGAAAAACATTACTTCATTGTAATTCTTTCATCGTTCACTCATAATAATAATAGTAATAGTACGCACGCATGCATGCACACACAGCCACACACGCACGCATGCACGCACGTACGCACGCACGCACGCACTCACGCACGCACGCACGCACGCACGCTCGCACGCACACTCACACCATACCATGAGAATAATAATTTATTCATATGCTTGCTACATGGTACAGTTTTGGACCTTACCAAAGTAGTAAAGTAAATAAGTACGTATAATACAGCACACCATAGGGTATGCAATTATTGAAAATGAATTCTTAAATATAGGATGCCAGCGTACTATTAACTGTAGTATTATGATTAAAAAATGTATGTATGTTTATTTTGATATTGACAGGTTATGTGCCGTATACACATATGTCCGACGCCGGTATGTTCGTCGACCCCAAGAAGGCCAGCGCGTCGAAACTGGCCAAAAAGAAATTTAAGGTAAATTTTCTATTTTTTTTAACCGACTTCAAAAACAGGAATAGGGTGAGTGGGGGGAAGATCAAACGGTTTTTTGATGAGATAAGCAGTGTTGTGTTTGACGTCTTGTAGAGTCAGTACATATTAATTTAACCATGTGTTATGGGTACTAAACAACTTATATAAATACTTTTTTTTTTTTTGTTAATATATACATAATATACATAGGAAACATCCAAATACAAATAATCATACTTATGAATAAAAATGTTTGTACCGTGCTAGCCGAGCGACCAAACGAATCCGCGACCAAGGAAGTAAAGCAGTATGCTAAATCGCTAGGTCACCAAGGATGTCAAACATATAACATTAACTAGCTGTCCCGTCAAAAGTTCTTTTGCCTTATATTAAAAAAAAAATTAGGGGTGGACTACCCCTGACATTTAGGGGGATGAAAAATAGATGTTGGCCGATTCTCAGACCTACTCAATACGCTCACAAAATTTCATGAGAATCGATCAAGCCGTTTCGGAGGAGTATGGGAACGAAAACTGTGACACGAGAATTTTATATATAAGATATAGATAATAAACAAAGTTAGGGTTGCTATATGTATATATTTGTAACCAAATTTAACTTTATGATATGTCAAATCCACCGTCAGTTCGAAGTGATTTCGAGATGAGAAGAACTGACAAGAAATTCAGCTCATATTCTTTTCAATACATACAGGAGGGTCAAGAAGTGAATGCGCGCGTGTTGCTCGTAGACCTGGAGGCGCGCAAGCTGCTACTGACACTGAAACCTTCGCTGCTGGCACCAGATCTGCCGATATTGAAGAGTTATGAGGAGGCGGAAGTGGGGAAATCTTACACTGGCTGTATCAGAGTAAGGAAATTTATATGGTCACACATCTTTTTTTTAGTAGTTTAGTAGTTTCTAATACCATGGTCATACTATTAAAATATTATAGCTATTTTTTTCGAGGAGTAATAATAATAAATTCTCAGGAAATTCACAGAGCCATGTAGTCCCAAGCTAAGCAGAGCTTGTGTTATGGGTACTAGACAACTGATACAAATGCATAGATACATTTTTTTGTAAATATATAATTTACATAGAATATACCCAGACCGATACAAACAGTTGTATTTAATGATATTATTATCAATACATATTATAAAATAAATAATAATAATAAATAATAAATAAATAATCTCTGTCGCCATCTGATCAAATTGTACCTAAAGCGTCTTGACAACTGATACAAATGTGTGCATAGAAAATTACAAACAATCATCTTTAATACAAACTACACAACGTAAAGCGGATTCGTTGTAAAGTCGCTGTCGCTGTCTGTGCGTCCCTATGTATGTTTAAATCTTTAAAACTACGCAACGGATTTTAGATCAGTTTTTTTAATAGATAGAGTGATTCAAGAGGAAGGTTTATATATATAATTCGTGTACACTTGTGCGAATCCAGGCCGAGTTGCTAGTTAAATTATTATTAAAAAATAAATTTATATTATAGTAGTTTAAATAATTTTATGGTTTTAAATAATTTGCACATCTTGAATGGTAAATATCGCTGAACACCTTATTAATTATTATATAAGATCTGTTCTGTGTAATTACCAGTATTTTGTAAATAAACATTCAAATTCAAAAATCATTTATTCATGTATGACATTTTAGCCGCTTATGGATGTAAAATTTTTTACATTATAATTTTACCGTCCAGTTATGTAGACACAATTGAGAAGAACTGGCAAGAAACTCAATTGAATTACTTATTTTTTTTTGAACCAGTTTATTTACAATGTATATTTATTTAGGTCTATGTGTAACATTAAATGAAAATCCAGTGCATGAACAACTATTGCCATGGTCGTCATTCAAGTAATCATTTATTGAGTAATAGGATTTGCTCAGTAAATATGATTTAACAGAAGTTTTGAATTTATTTAAGGGTAATTCCAATATATCCTTTAGTATCTTATTGTAAATTTTTATACCTATTCCCATAAAAGACCTATTGATTTTTTCTAAACGATACTTAGAGACGATTACGATTAATTTCATGTATGGCTGACTATTGCCACTTACTGTTAAGTGGGCCATGAGTTTGAAATGTCTTTCCAGTTAGATAAAGAAATGTTGTTGACAGGTGACTCGCGACTACGTGCTGGTGGTGTTCTTTAACAATGTGATGGCGCTGGTGCCGCGCCATTACGTCACCAAGGACCCCATAGACAACATACGTGATGCATTCCACCCAGGACAGATTGTGAGTTATATATACGTCTATAGGTAGACATAGTTGTTATTTTAATCTTAATAATATAAACGCTTTGTGCACGACGCACCTTCTTAGACTTTTATTGTATTTTTTATATATATTTAAAATACATTTTCTATTGTTCTATTATTTGTCACTTTTGAAATATATGTCTTTTTCCATTATTATTAAAATAATAAATTTAAGTATTTTACTATAAAGAATACTACATGTATTGTTGCCATCATGTTTGTGAGGAGAAATAAATAAATCAAATTATTATCAAATTATTAGCGACCGCAGTTTCTCTTATTACTAAAAATCTATATATATAAATAAAACATAGGTGTCTGTTTGTAATATTGAAATAACCGTTTTTAACTACATGCATATGAATATAAATACGGTACATATACCAAAACAACATTTTTTTTACAATTTTTGTATCTCTGTCTCTCTGTCTGTTTGTTCCGGCTAATCTCTGAAATGTCTGGACAGATTTTGACGGGACTTTTTTTGTCAGCTGGCTGATGTAATAAGGAGTAACTTAGGCTATTTTTATACTAGCCTATAAATAAACATAATAAACTATAAATTTAAATGCCACGCGGACAAGTCGCGGGAGCGGCTAGTAAAATATAAAAAAACAGTCCTTAAGAAACATCAGTCATTAAAATACATCTTATTTGCTTTGTGCATTAGTTATGGTGATTTTCAACGAATTATGGTAGAGAATGCCATATGGCATAAAGCTTGCCAATTGTACACACTTTATTGTGCAATAATGAATATAAAAACGTGAAAGTTTGTAAGTATGGATGTTTGTTACTCTTTCGTGCAAAAACTACTGATTTGGATGAAATTTTACAATACTATAGTTTATGCATCAGAATTACACATAGACTATATTTTATATTGAAATTAAACGCGGGTCAAACTGCAGTCTCGCTAATATGCGGTCGGTATAGCTAATAAATAAATAAATATAGAAACTTTTAAAGTAATGCAATAGAGTTTCTTGCCAGTTCTTCTCAATTGGATCTATATACCGAACTGGACGGTAGCGAAGAAATTTGATGAATTAGAAAAAAACGGATATTCATAAGCGATTAGAACGTCCTACATTAATAAATGATTTTTGAATTTGAAGTTACATAAAAATAAGTTCATATTTTGTATTTGTATCATATCTATTTGTATTATAACATGTCATTAACGTACCTACATAATAACTTCAGTATATATTTTGAGGTAAGTAACATCCACAAAATATCGAGCCATGAGACAAAATACTACACGTTTAACTATATATCTGGCTGAAAATTATCTTGTAGGTAAACTGCACAATCATCAGGGTATCGCCGGAGGACAAGAAAATGGTCGCAAGCTTCACGACGCCACCGTTCACTGCGAGTGTAAGTGAAATATATAAAAATATATCTTTCTTTCTTTTCTTTCAAATACAACATTAGCATGTAGGAGTTTGGTAACAAACACCGCGTTGTTAGCAAACTCCTCCGAAACGGTTTTACCGATTTTTATTAAATTTTTTTGTTCATATCGGATACGATATATCTAGATTGTCATGGACTTTTCGTACATATGGTAAATTAAATACATAAATTTAAACTTTTCCTATACAATAATAAAAAAACAAATATTTTTTTTTTTATTGTATATTTACCATGTAATTAATTATAAGCTTTGTTACATATCATAAATAAAACTTTTCCTTAATCTATTTGAAAAAAAATGTCTTCATGTTTGTTCTTACTAGTCTCTGAAATGGTTGAACCGATTTAGACGCGACTTTCACTCGCAGATAGCTAAAAGAAGTAACTAACATGAGTGTGCTATTTGTTTTAAACATAGGTATGTGGTTTTAATTTAATATACTGTGTTGACTTGGTCATTAGGATATTCAATTAATATGTCATGACCACCGCTCTCTTAATTTATCATCATCTGCTTCTTCCTTATCCCATTCATTTAGTATTGGTGTACTATGTTTTCTACATTCATCTGTTTGCAGTAATCCCGTTATTTATACCCTTTCTTGCCATATCATCTTTCACACAGTCCATCCATCTCTTTATCAGCCTTCGTCTGTCCTTATAACCATCCACATACATATGTAATACATAGTGATGGTATATTCAATCAATCTTTATATTTTTATTAACAGCAACCACGCGAAAAAAGAGAAAAACGTAAAGCACAATCTGAAATCACAGATGATCATGAGGTACCTAAAAAGAGGAGGAAGTCTATCGATGGTGAAATAGAAGTAACAGATACAAAGAAGAAAAAGAAGAAACTTGAGAAGAATGCAACTGAGGAGGAAGTTACAGAACCGAAACAGAAAAAGAAAGATAAAAGTAAAGAACAGGAAAACGAATCGGCTAGTGATCATATAGAAACAGACGTCAACGATGAAGATAATGAAGAAGAAACGAATGCATCTTATGAAATGGAAGTAACGTTGTCGACTCAAGACTACGAATTGATGGATCTGTCTAACTGCAATGACATAAAGAGATGTAAAAAACGTTCTGCGTCCCTGTTAAAATGTATAAAAGCAAGAAATATGAAAATAAAAAGAATAGAGCAGAAACTAGCTAAAATAGAAGCGAAGGGATTGAATGCTAAAAACAAAGTGTACCATACGGCTATGCACGCTGATATGTTGGTTGTACAGGAACGGAAAAACAAATTGTTAGATACTTTGAAATCTGTTAAAGATAAAATTAGAGAGTTAAGTACCCAAAAGAAAATGAAAAAAGCAGTTAAAGAAAGTATAGCTGAAGGAGACGAAGACAATAAAACAGAATTGGATGGTAATAAAGAAAAGAAACGGAAAAAGAAGGAAGAAGCAATAGAAGACGATGTAAATAAAAAAGACGGGGAAAAGAAAAAGAAACGAAAAAAATCGGAGATACAAGTGGTGGAAAGTTTAGAGCCAGTTTTAGAAGCGCCGAGCGCAAAGGATTTCTGGTCGACGACTGCCACGTATGTAAATAATGAGGTCAACGATGATGAAGATCTGAGCAGCAGTGATGATGAGGTAAGTTTCTTTTTATTATTCTATACGCTCTTTACAGAACCGTCGTGGTCATTAGGGAGTGGAGTGAGAGGTAGATGTCATGCGTCTTAAGACAGTCCGCAATTTCTCCCTACTGGCTGCCATTCTGGTACACTCGTGGAAGTAAATTCATGAAGATAAATTTGTTGTTTACACTACTGTGTTATGGAATAATTATCGAATGTCATAGATGAAACTATTATAGAATGGTGACAAACACACACACACTCAAGTAATGGAGCGTAGTCAAAAACACGCACACATCTGATTTTCTTTCATATAAACTATCAATGTCGTTACGTTAGGTTGATGGCTTCGGTGGTCTAGCGGATTAATACACTGTTACTATGGTCGCGGGTTCGATTCCTCGCACGGTGTAAACATTTGTATTCATGAGTACAATTTAAGATTGAGTACGATTGCGCAGCAGTGACTAGTGAATATTTTTTTTTCTAGCAAAAGGAACAACCAAAAAAGAAACGTAAGAAGCTGACTGTGGCGGAGAAGCTGGCCAAGGTGCGTGATGAAGAGGAACGAGTGCGGGACATGGAGCGGAGGGCCATCGAGAGCGAGGCCCAGCCGCGCTCCAGCGAGCAGTTCGAGCGCGCGCTGCTGGCGAACCCCGACTGCAGCCAGCTCTGGATCGCTTACATGGCATTCCATCTACAGGTACAACCATTATCTAGATACGCGGCAGCGTGTCAAAGCCAAGTTTAAGTAAGGGAACTGACGAGAAGCACCGTGTGTAATTGTTTAATATGTAATTCGTATATGAAAACTACCCAAGACAGACATTAGGCTACAATATATTATCGTAAGTTATAAGAAGAAATGATGTTTTATATTGTTATAAATAAATTTCAGGACTGACCATTGAACTTGGCACTCATTTAGATCTCACTTCTTTTGTCGTTGAAGTCAACAATCAAGGCATATATCATAATATTGAACTTGGCTATCATTTCACATTTATGTTTTTGATGGGATTGCTATCTCTAGAAATGAAACCATCGTAATACAAAAAAAAATTAACACCTTATCTGTTCATGATTTTCTTTTTTTATTATTTATTATGTTTTACGACTAGATACAAGTTCTTTTATGCCTAACTGTAACAAGTGAGTGTTTCATTTAATTTTTTTTTAAACAATACATAAATACAGTGCATATTTTTCATATATATTTTATATACAGCCTTGAATGACACAGATCTTGATAACGTCTCTTCTAGCGACTGCGGTACTGAATTAATAAACCCCTTAATCACATCGTTCATGTTTTCTACCATTATGTGTTGCCAGTGTAGTAAATATACTACTATTTTGTATAATACTTTTGTTTTCATATTTGTTATAAAATTTAAATAAACTAACTGAAATAAACCTCTATAAAATTTTTAGTAAAACACACAAGTGAATAATATCGTATTGTACAGGCCACGGAGATCGATAAGGCGCGCGCTGTTGGACGCAAGGCGTTGTCGACGATCTCATTCCGGGAGGAGCGAGAGAAGCTGAACGTGTGGATCGCTATGCTCAACGTTGAACATAGGTTTGGTACCCAGGTAATAAAATAAGAATTATTTAAATGAAATAAGTCAAACTTTTTTTCTCTCACAGAAAGAAAATAAGCAATTATATAAACTGATATGTATTGATTTTTTTTATATTTGGTAAAATATAAAAAAAATATAGTGTATATGTGTGTAATATGTTTAAATATATAAGTGTGTTCGTTTTTTTAATTGAAACAAAGAAAAACTAATTAAAAGAGCTATCTTATTAATATTGTAAACGCTTGTAACGTGTACGCTAGAAGTCTATGAGTGAATGGATAATGAACGAATGGATGTTTGTAACTTTCCCACACAGAAACTACTAAATGGATTTTAATGAAACTGTGAAATAATATAGCTATTAATATAGCTATAGGCTGAAACCGGTAAGTAAACAACATGTTATAATCATGTATGTTTCATTTATAGGAATCCCAACAGAAAACGTTAGAAGAAGCACTCCAAATGAACGAGCCGTTCACGGTTCACTCGAAATTGTTGGATATCTATGTGGAGACCAGCAAACAGCAGGAGCTAGTGTCATTAGTAGACTTGATGATGAGGAAGTACAAACGGCAACCGGACGCGTACATACAGGCCGGCGGCGCCTGCTACAAACTCGGCCTGGTGGATAAGGCCAGGCAGGTTATGCAGAAAGCAATCAGTATACTGGAGAAGAAAGAGCGTTAGTAATGCTTTTTTTCTAATCTTATATATAAAATTCTCGTGTCACAGTTTTCGTTCCCATACGTTTCGTTCCTCCGAAACGGCTTGACCGATTCTCATGAAATTTTGTGAGCGTATTGAGTAGGTCTGAGAATCGGTCAACATCTATTTTTCATCCCCCAAAATGTTAGGGGTAGTCCACCCTTAATTTTTTTTTTATTTTAAGTCAAAACAACGTTTGCCGGGACAGTTAGTATTATATATTAATTAGAACTTTTTTTATTTTAATGGAACTTAATGATTTATTTAAATAAATTAGGTAGCAGTTGAAATTCATTACTATACTATCCTGAAACAGAAGTACTGGATTCTAGGATCGTGATAAAAAAATTGTGCGAAAGGTAGATAATGACGAAATTCTGATGTCTGTATGGATATCAGTATTTCATCGTTATATATCATATTTTTATATACCTATATGTACGGCAATTTAATGAACTGATTATATTTACGTCTTATTGTTCTCATATTCGGGATTTTCATTTAATGTTAGACATAGACACCTATATAAATACCTATGCATTGTAAATAAACTACTTTTAAAAAAAAAGTAATTCAATTGAGTTTCTTGCCAGTTCTTCTCAATTGGATCTATATACCGAACTGGTCGGTAGGGAAAAAAAATATAATATAAAAACTTGACGTTCATAAGCGGCTAAAATGTCCTACATGAATAAATGATTTTTGAATTTGAATTGTGCTACTATTACGAAGAAACAATCATCGCGAAAGACGGGAGCGTATTAATTAAATTCTTTAACATAGTACAGTGGATCATATGGCAGTGACGCCGCGGACGAACTAGCGAGAATAGGATCTGGTATGGTGGTTGCAGGCCCCCTCCCGCTCATGCCAATACCCTTCTCGCAACTTCGTACCTGGAATCGCCAGAGATCCACCGAAATACAAAACCAAAGATGGAACCTAACCACAAGCTAAAGTGGCAATTCCAAAAACGAACCATCGATTAACAACACGTCTACTTAATCTAGATAGACATAACCTCAAAATAATGATAGGGACAATAACGAGCCATTGTTCCTTAAACAAACACTTATACAAAACTGATGCTACAGACAGTCCCCTTTGTCGGGGCTGTTTTGAAGCTGAAGAAACGGCGGCTCACGTAATCCTGGAGTGCACGGCAGTGGCCCAACAACGAAAACAAATCCTCGGAACGGTGAGGTCGCTCCGTGAAGCCTGTGAAGACACCAGGAGTCTTCTGCGCTTTTGGGAGGAGCTTGGCTGTCTACTTTAGTAGTCTGGCTCTGAATGAGAAACTAATTGCGGAGACTGGAGTCCAACATACAACATACAACATTAGTGCAAAAAAACATTATGGTTGACTTTGAGTAAAGACTATTTGGTTGGTCTATATCGGACCGTAGTTATAGTTATGTATGTATCTGCCGGCCGGCCACCGTTTGTGTATATTACAGTCAGTCGCCAATATACAACCGTGAAGACAACGTGGTTTCATTTAAATTTAAATACAAAATTCCACTCCTCCCAAAGTAAACAGAAAGCAGCTTTAACACATTCAACACTATTTCTATTATAATAATGATGGCATCTATGATCTAGCTGTTTAGCATACAGCTTTGCGTCCGATGGTCGCGGTTTTGGTTACTCGCACGGTGCAAACATTTGTATTAATTATTGAATAATTTGTATTGTATTAAAGATTGTGTATCTATTTATTGTTATTCTATTTTTTGAATACAACGTTGTTTAAATGCTTCTCAATACATTTACGAAAATATTATGTATGCCAAAAAAATGTGTCATAAAATATTTACTTTGTAAAAAAGCTTATTATAAAATTGAAGTATTTATAAATGATAATAATGTTTTTGTAGAAAATATCTAACTTAAAATTCATAGCGCTGACAACGTTATCTGATTAAACAGAGATTAAGTGCGTAGCGGTTTCTATGTTGATTGTCGCATGCCTAATCCTTGTTATTAATTAAATATAAGTAAATCAATATTTATTTAAAAGAGCAACACACAAGTTTCTTGCTTATTCTTCTTGTGATGAATCTGCATTCCGAATAAGCGGTAGAATCAAAATTTTTATTAAGTTTATTTGAATAAAGATTATTTCTATTTCTATTTGAAACGTATTGTCGGTCGTTTTACACGTGCGGCCTATGGTTTGGGTATACGCAGAGGCCATACAACGCTCTTCGTGTACAGAATAATAATGGGTTTCGGATGTTGTTGGGGCTCCCTTGGTTCTGTAGCGCATCAGAGATGTTTACAGCAGCGCCGGTAGATGGATTTCAAGCCATAATGCGTAAAAGAGCTGAGCACAAACAGCATCCTAACAACTGTTGCGAGTATACCTGATTGTCCGCTCCAGAGGCACTGGATATCGTTGCATTGTGGACCCAGTGCTTCTGGACGTGGACACAAATATATGTATTAAATATATCTCAGTATCTGTATATTATAAGTTACTAACATAGTGTTATAAGTTTTTACTAACACAATATGGATGTAATCCGAATTAAAATAAATAATAATAATAAAAAAATATCTAAATATATTAGTTAGCTAGTACCCGTAACACAAGCTATGCTTAGTTAATTTTAAACTTTCGTGTTTAATATACATTATTTAAATTATTAACCGGGTCTTAACACGAATAATTTTATGGCAAATAAAGGTATTTACCTATCTAGACGTTTCAACTAGGTTACACTAGCCGTGATCACGAGCTGACTGGAGTAACAGTGATTTCAATGTAGATAGGTGACAGCAGTTTGTTCTTCATCTCTAGATTGTTTAACGAAAGTTCGCGACACACAGCACTCACGGTATCCGTACACTTATTGACTATTGATGCTACTGAACTTTGCTTGAATTTATTTATGACTGGATTCCACGCAGATGTTAATTTTAAGCCATCCTCTCTGTTGAAATTGGGATGTTTTTTAATCTTGCAACCTAGTCCAAACGTCGAGAGAGGTAAATACCTTTATTTGCCATAAAATTATTCGTGTTAAGACCCGGTTAATAATTTAAACAAGCTATGCTTACCGTAGGACTAGATGCCACTGTGTTAAACATCCAGGTATATATATCTATTTATTCTAATATTTCCAGACGTGTCGGTACTAGTGCAGTTCGCGTTGCTGGAACGGTTGTCGGGCAGTCGCGAGCGCGCTGAAGCACTATTCGAGCAGGTGTTGGCCGTGTACCCGCAGCGTGTTGATGTCCTCTCAGCGTACGTCGACATGTTAGTCAAAGGCGGTGATGTCGAACAAGTGCGGTGAGTAACTACTTTTTAACGTGACCACAGAACAAAGAGGTCGATAGAAATACAGTGGTAACAAATTACTTAGAAAACCACAATCGCCAACACGCACACATACTCCTCGAGTCATCTTTTTCAACACAAACAAATTATGTAAGTTATGTAGCCAACCAAATAAAAATAATCCTTCATGTCATGAAACAGATTTGATATTCGTTTGTTTTGTTTTAAAAATATTGTAAAGTGATGCATTACAAATCTTTGAATTTCTCGGCTTGTCCTATACTATAACATGTAATATACATATAAACCTTCCTCTTGAATCATTCTATTTATTGCGTACTGTATTAAAAGCCGTTGATTAATTAATATGATATAGGGCAACAGACGGCGGCGCCTTTATATCTTTTATATAGATATAGATGTACATCTCACAGATTATTTCACTAACCAATTTGGCTGAAATTTTGAATTAAAATTATTCACAAAATTTCGCTTATAGACACTAGCGCGATTATAGTTAATACCTGTACTTTTTATCAGGCAAGTCATGGACCGTATGACGTCACAGAAGCTACCGGCGAGAAAAATGAAAATTGTTTATAAGAAATGGATAGAAGTTGAAGAGAAGATAGGAGATCAAGAACAAGTAGAAAGGATACGTCAACGAGCTCTAGAATATGTAGAGAAAGCTCAGTTTTAAGTTAAATAAATCGGACCATTAACGTTTTTGTTTCATTTTACCATAGACAATATTCCCAATACGTAGAAATACTCAAATGCTTAGAGTTTATTCTTTTGAATTGTTTTTCAACCGAGTCAATGACAAAAAATAGCAGTGATGTATATATATTTTTAATAATTTCATACAAAGCAGTTTTCATACTGAAAGAAATAAAGAAAATATGTTATACTGCTTACACAGGTATTATAATTTCACAAGTTTTGAATGATTCAGTGATGAACTAGTGTATCCAACTAATATTAGAAATAAAAGCAATGAAATTTGAATAAAAACATTTATTAGTCAATTATATCCTTAAACATAAAAGTTTTATTACTTTTAATGTTACTATTACTATTTAAACCGACTTTCGGCATCGGTGGGGGCGGTGGAGGCGGCGTTCCTGTACTGGGAGTATTCTCCTGTGGCACTGAATTATCAGTCTTATGACTATGAGGTTCAATTATATATTTATTTGACAAACAAGTGCCGTAAATTGATACAGGCTTGCAAACTGTATAACCAAGTTTGGAATAGAAATTCTCTTGTCCCTTTGTTGATAAATGAATCATTTTTAAATTTAAAACATTTTTACAGTAATCCTCGATGTGTTTCATCAGGTAACTACCTAATTTTTTACCTCGGAGAGTTTTACTTATAACTACAGATTCTACAAAACAACTCTCGGGGATACTTGGGATCGGAGTAAGTTTGCAATGCCCTATGACACATTTTTTGTCTTGAACTAAAATAAAACTAGTCGGTAGTGCGTCACGTGACGCTTGAAGAGACATCATTCTGGCGGTTTCGCTGCGAGGCCATTCCTCGTTGATTAAGTCGCAGCATTGTTTTAAATACTGCGGGTAGTAATGGAGAAGTAATACTGAAAGATTTTCTGTTTCCATCGTTTGGTTTCCTAAAAATATATATTAATTATATTACTTAATAGAACATGCAAACAAAAAAATGCTTTAGAATTTGAAATTGAGTGGTTACGGACAATACGGTTTCAGACGAGCTTCCTTCCGCGTACACATAGATTGTGGAATGAACTACCTGCCGAGGTTTTCTTGAGAGACTATAGAATGGGGTATTTCAAGAGGGCTACATTAAGGGTCTGCAAAGTGCCCGTGACACACTTGGTATTTAAGGCATCCATAGGCGGCCGTATGCTTGTTTGCCACCATCGTAGCATAAAAAAATAAAAAAATATAAAATCACTGAAATCATTACGATTCAAATGAATGAAATGAAAAAATCTTTAACAGTGACAGATTGGCAGATTATGGAAACTATAATATAGCAACATTTCAAATACTGTCAATGTCAGTAGAGTCAGTTGTCAAAACAGGGTTGAACTGTCAGATTGAGATCGAGAGATAAAAATGATTCTATAAGTAATTAGCACACAATTATTTCGGTAAAAAATAGTCTATTATGACTATTAGAAGAATTGAATAGTGGGTACACTTACCAAGCAACTGCTTCTTGTATATAAACTCATATTTTATCTCAAATAACAGGTATGGACATTTTAAATTGATTCTTAAAAACAACACCACTCTCGCGCCGCGAGGCAGCGTACAACTAATTGGAAATAACCTAATTTTGGCCGTCTGTCATTCATAAACGTGAATGTAAAAGCTGTATATATATATTATTGCATAATCTTCTTCCTCATTGTCAAGCATTGCACATCTAATGTGTAATGAATATTCACGGAAATTGTTATAAAATTGCATTAAAATGCGGTCACTTGCAAGTCTTTCAATTTTTGCGCGAAATAATGCGGCAGCACAGACCAACACAAAATTCTAGACGGGGTCATTAGAACAAGCTCCATAATCCTGCTCAACAAAGTACTTTGAACGTTTTCATTAAAAACTATGAAGATTATAATAAATCTGCCAAAACCCCAATAAAAAAAAAGTTAAAGATAGTTTATTGACGGCCTCGGTGGTCTAGCGGTTTAAGATACCGCTTTACTTCTAATGGTCGTGGATTCGATTTGCAGGGTACAAAAATTAGTAATTATGAGTATAAATGTTTGTATTGATCTGGGTGTTTTTTATGTATTTTATATTATATTATATAGGGATGTATTTAAAAAAAATGTATGAATGTATTTATATCAGTTCTCTAGTACCCATAACACACGATGTGCTGATCTTGAGACTAGATGGCGCTGTATGATTATTCCTGAGATATTATTGACTAAATAATTTTGTAACATTTGTATGTATGTATATAAAACATATTTTAAATTAATTTATATATTTAATGTTACATAATTTACAACACTGGCAATATATTTTACAAAACAAAAATTATAACTGTAGAGACATCGTAATACTAAAATCATACATCATTGTAGCTAAAGAGATGGCAGACGATGATGATGTGCCGACACTGTCAGCGGAGACATTTGCTGCACTGCAGGACTTTTATGCTGAGCAGCAGCGGAGACAGGAGATACTCACCAAGTTAGAGGCTGATGATAAACTCAAGGAGAACATTATATTTGATGAAAATTGGGTGTGTGTTTCAAAATCCCCAATTACAGACTGATTAGGGTGATTGGCTTAGCAATTTTTGTAGGGATATTAGATACGATCCTATATGACACACCTACACAAAATAGAACTAAAGTATGTCTATATGTAAATATATTTTAATTGTTATTTATTTATGATATATGTGCCTTTTTTCCTAATGTGCATAACACCACAGAATCCTATTATAACTGGAAGTGCTGATTGCAAATAGAAAATAAATAAATAAAAAAATATATATTATATAGTATTAATGTTATATGTAATTTATAACTTCTTATAATTATATGAATTATTAGTTGATATTTTCACCTATTTAATCAATTAAGTACCATATTTCTGAGTTACTATTTATGCCAAAGATTTACGCGCTAAAATTAGAGAAAACTTCTGGCTTTAATTCCGGTTTTTCTATTTTTTACGTCATCAATAAATTTTGGTATTAATTTCCGCAGCAATTGAGCCAATTTTGGTACGACGAGGCGACAGTACAAAGCTTTGTTAAGGTGGTGGATAGTGTTGTGGCCGACGGTGGTCGAGTGGCGCTTATATCGTGCCCCACACTGTTTGTGCCAATCAAGAGGCAAATTGGCTATAGAGCTACTGGTGAGTTACATTCACTATTTGTATAAATATGGACATTATTGTAAAATAGTCAGTATTTACTGACTGACTGAGATAAACCCGAAATTTGGAACTTGGATTTCTTTTATAACACACGGATTAATGTTATATTATTATAAAAGAGCAAAGAATGGTTTAAAAAATCATATTAGTGATAATGAAAATTTAGTAGTTAGTCTAGCATTTCTGATGGTCATAGGTTCGATTCTTTGAAGGGCACAAACAGTTTGTATTCATGAGTATTATTGGTCTGGTTATTTTCTATGTATTTTACGTATGTAATTACAAAAAATGTGTATTTAAGTACTAATCACCTTGATGAATGGCGGTCGTCCACTCAGAAAACTTTGCCACACACATTGTGAAATCGCCTTCAAAGAATACCATATTGACACCCTCAACTAAAGAGCTTATTTACTCCTTCTCAAAAGATCGGCAATGCACATGAAATTAGCCCGGTGTTGCGGATGCTCAAGTGCAGCCGTAATCACTTACCATCAGTTGGGCCGCGAGCTCTTTTGATCCCTATGCTATAAAAGAAAAACTTTATGAAGCTGATAATATTTATGAACAATTTTACATTACAGTGTCACTATTGGAGTACGACAGGCGGTTCGATGTCCACGCGCCAGACTATATCTTCTACGATTACAACACGCCTGACAAGCTGCCAATTGAATCCTTGAACTCCTACGACTTGGTACTCGCTGATCCGCCGTTCCTCTCCGAGGAGTGCTTAACTAAAACATCGCGTACCATTAAACTGCTGGCCAGAGACAAAATCGTTTTGTGCTCCGGCGCCGTAATGCAGGATCACGTTGAAAAATTATTAAATTTACAATTGTGCAGTTTTCAGCCAAGGCATAGAAATAATTTAGCTAATGAGTTCTCGTGTTATTCCAACTTTGATCTGGACAGCATACTGAGGTGAGATCCACAGTTTGTCATAATATCATAATGCCTTGTTCATCAACCGAAGGGGTGAAGAAATCCTTCAAGTTTCATCAGTATTACAAATAAGTCAAAAATTAACATCACATGTCACAAATTGGACTCAAATTTGTTAACACTTAGGTTATGTCAAAAAATAATCTTCACAAATGCCACAAACAAGTCTCTAATAGGATCATCACAAATAGATCTCAAAAAGGATCGTCACAAATATCTCAAATGTGTTAAGCTCTTGAAAAAGATTGTCACAATTGTCATAAACAATGTCACAAAAATAATCATCACAAATGTCACAAATAGATCTCTAATAGGATCGTCACAAAAAGATCTCAAAAGGGATCGTGGTAGGACGGTATAATACATACAATCGATTTCGGTGACGGGGGTGTGGGGAGGGTGGTAAGTAACCACCCCTTGATGGGAGGGTTGCGATTCCTCATAGTTTTTTTTATATGAAGTTTTGAAAGTTGTTTTAAGGTTAGCACGCTTTTTGCATTATATCTAAGATTTTGGGGGGGAAGGTTGGGGGATACCCCTTACTGAGGAATCCCCCTTGGCGGGGGTTGCGATTCCTCACTGATTTTAAATTGAAATATAACATTTTTACAAAAATACAAATTATAGGCACATTTAAATAATAACATACAAAGACAACTTATCCATCATAATCATATCAGCCCACGGTCTGTACTGATCTACTTATCTATATATACTTACTACTTGACCGAACTGACGGACTTACTTATTGACTGAATTGGAATTCAACCTGTCACTTAAAACAAAATGGCGTCGCGTAATTAGTGTTGCGTTTTATTTCTCCTTTTTTAAGAAAATATGTTCTTTATTAAAAATGAATATCATAATAATAAATATCGTAACGAAATTGTGTCAAAAAATACTCCAAAAGTATTTTGACGTTCATTGTGCTGTGTATTACAATAAAAACTAATTTAAACTATCAAAAAATTACGCAATGACTGTATAAAACAAATAACAAAACGCACTGCGGATGTCAAAAGTATTTTACGACTATTTTCACATATTGTAATTAAAATTTCTAAAATTAATATCTCAAATAGGACTATGACGACAACTATGACTTTCCGCAATTTGAAATTTTAGAAAACATAAAATTTTCAACTCTCAAATCGATTGTATATATTGTACAGTTGAGGCGGGATCATCACAAATATCACAAACATTTTCAAATGTCACGTCGATTCAGTGACCGCGTCTCTCAAATAATTTACAAAACAGTAAATTATTTATCATTGATTTTATTTTTTTAATTTTCAGTTCCACTCCTGATGACTGTTTTATAACTCGCCTTTCATGTTGTATCATTGTAACTGAAAATACAGGTTTAAAAATTAAGTGTTCGTGTTTTACTATGATCTATCTGCAGATTCTGCCAAACTGAAGAGGAAATGCCGCTTCACATCCTATGTGGTTGTAGCCCACTCATGCATAAACGAAATATCTCCTTTGGAAAGTTTACACTCTTTCCCGAGGAGACAAAAACGATCGCTCCTAAGAATATCCTTCAATTCTTGTCCCTGACGGGTCTAGGTAGCGAACTCTGAAAAGGGCGAGCACAATAGATCTATGTCGTATAATAGGTCGCAGTGCTACAGGTGCTACACATCTGACAATAGCCCAAACAACCCAATAAAAAAAATATATAAAAAATTTACTGTGATCTACCTGCAAAGTATTACTGGGGATAACTTTATGTAAATATAATATTCCTAGTTTTTGTTATTGTATACCTATATGTACACTAGTACATATGGCAATATATGCTTATGATGTAATGTAAGTTAGACTCCATTTACCGCAATCTGCTTCTCATCTGTATGCTTATAATACAAATGTCTATCAATGATCTTGTTTGGTAGATTAGCAATAGATCTGTGGTCATAGTAGGCTGTTACCCGCCAGTAACGTTCCTGTGGAATTAAAATAAATAATACTTCTATAAAACTAGACAAATGTAAGAAAGAAATTAGCAGGAATAGACACTATAGACAGGCAATATTTTATGACATTTTTTATATATAACTATGTATACTTTCATATGCATTTAGTAAAAGCTGTTAATTTGAAATTACAAACAGACATTCAAATTTTATTTATAAGTAATATTTAATAGTATTAAACTGTTTCCACCGTATTTTAATCTTTGCTGAAAACTTAACCTAAGTTACATTTTATCTGTGACCCCACACTAGTCTGTACCGGTATCGTGGAAATCAATGAAATACAAATGAATAATGGTATAAAGGCGATCGATTAAACATAAATTTTGTCGTTATAGAGTTATTTATTAGAAAATTCCTCATTTTGAGTTGAGATATGTGTTAATGAATAAATGATTATTTAATTTGTTTATAATTTGTCACAGTATTTCTTTTGACTTCCTGCAATTGATTGGCTATTAGAGTGGATATCGTGCATCTCATTTCAGTAGGAGTAACAAACTATTATATTGTTGTCCCTCTTCCTCTTATTGTGATGCAAAGGTGTACTGTTAATTCATTATCCCCTAGTAGAACGTTGTCAAGTTCGTTGAAAAATGTACTAGGCGGCTATAAAAGTAGTGGTATTAAAATTCAACTGTCATATCGTTCGCTGAAACTAAGTGGTCACGGACAGTGCGGTTTCAGAGAGGTACACTGTGTGCCAACATAGTAATTTAAATAAATTGACATTGCACTTCCTCTTGTGTGGATGTACCCTCTTCAATAACCAACAAGACCGATTATGTACAAAGTACTAGGCTGTCATAAATGCAGTGACAACAAACTTCTTTAATGAGTGTATACCCTCTTCAATAAACTACACACAGACATGGTGTACCGTTATTGAATACATGACGCACACAGCCGCACTGTAGGTTTGACCAATCACGTTAGAGAACAAGTTCAGTTCATTGATGTTCAGTTAAATTATTGAAAATTATCTTATAGTACCAGACTAGCAGAAACCTTTAGGAGGCCTTGATTGCGTTTAACAGCGTTACTAAATACACGTACTCTTCTTATTTTCTGCGTTCCTAATATCTACTGTGATTAAAATATTAAAATGAGCAGCTCATTGTGATTTTGAACCTACTTTTGCTATAATCTAATTGCAACCCATGTTTTTCGTATATTGTGGTCGTTTTTTAATTTTGTCCTTATTTAATTAATTTTCAATTTTCTTTAAAAGATCATTACAATTTGTCATGGGATTTTTTTACATAGATTTAAAAAAAAATTGTCTATTCCTAGTGACCAAAATTATCTCTGCCTACTATTTAAAACTGTTTACCTCTGATTGGCACTAGATGGCGCTGTGTGATATATCAATCAGTATTAATGAATTGAATTTATATTCTAAATTATAAGGGTGTATTAAAATAAACGAAATATAAAACAAATTGCATTTTATTGTTCTCCTTAATAAAACTATTTGTTACATTATGCTGGTGAACATTTTATTAATTCTCTCAAATCTGATACGACGACAATTTCTCTACGTTTAAAATATGTTTTTCTTAACAAACGTCATTACGATCCGAAGGGAGGTTTATGTGATAAATAGACAAATATTTTTTTTAATTTTATCTATGTCATTAGAATATTAATTTGTAATTAGGCCCTAAATAAATACCTTTTTAGAAATAAACTCAATTAGTGAGGTGCATTTAGACAGAATTATTATTTAATACTACATAAACCTCCATTTCTATTCAAAACAATACATAACGTAGAAAGCATTATGAATATAAAATAATGTTTTACAAATGTATCAAGTATACGGTAGTTACAAACGAATTTGAAACTTATATACAAAACAATTTAAAGTTTACAATACATGCGACTGTATATGAATAAGACGAATTCATTTGTGGAATTAATGACAGTTTATTATTTAAATATATATACCTACAATTTTGTATGTATATAAAAGATATATATATAATATGTACATAACGTTTATAATTGCAGTGTTTTTCTACACATAAAGAGATTTCAAATACTAATTAACATCAATGACTCGAATACTTCAGAGTCTGAAAAGAAGTAAAAAAAGGAGCAATAAATCACTTTTTTTATATATATATATATACACTTCTTCATAAAAACGTCTGGCCTATAAACAAATTTTAGTTATCTGATGGTTTATATGGTCTTTTCTTTATGAAACTTAATGACAAGCTGATGAGAGATCTGTCGTGCCTCTCATCCTATAATTACATTGCCTAATCTGCACTTTGACAAAGTCTACTTTATTGAAAGTGACGAAGCATTGTGATGGTTAAAATGGTATAAAGGGTATAAGTGCGAATTCTGACATCGTACTTTTGCATATTACATTCTAGCTCTTCACTCTTGTATGATTAGATATTGACGATATTTTTGTATTGCCAGTAATAAAAATTAGATATTATTATAATAAATTTTTATAAAAATACATATAATCATAGGCTTTCTTATTAACTTATTCGCATTGAGCATTTCTAATACGCACTGCCAAAGAGTGGAACAATTTCAATTTCCGTGTTCCTGGAGAAACAACCTCAGATTCTTCAAGTCTATTGTGAATAGACTAAGAGAATGTAACTATAGTCTGTTTTTTAATCCCGGAGACAAATTTGTTTTTTCTGATGTTGCCAGGTTATTGCATTTATTAAATAGGGTTGTGGCACCATCGGAAATTAATATTAATTACCCATTTTTATAGGTTATTCAGAAATATAGTGTAAGTGTTTATATAAAACGCGTTAACCCAAAATTAATAAAGTATAGATATTATTGAATATACGTGTACCGTCCCAATCATAAATTGTGCATTTTTTATTCGCTTACCGCGCGTAATGTTTGGAGCGGTCACAATCGTAAGTTGGTTTGCGCGGTGAACCCACGCATGCACTTGGCTTGACATACGCGCGGTCTGTCGTCTCGCAAATCGTGATATTACCGAATAACCAGGATAACTCCAGGAGAATACTCTTCGAAGCATCTCGTTGGAATTAAGGTGGAACCAGAACGTCGCACAAGAC